TTACTATTGTTCTCTCGTCGCCATTGTTTATGGCGCTCTCATAGACAATTTATGATTAATTAAACTTTACCTCAGTAAAGTCAGGTTACGAAAACAATGACTAAGGACTGGGTTAATTAATCATTAAGTGTCTCCACTTTAATTTGAGTACATCAATAAATAAAAAAGTTTCAAAACCGGGTCTAATAATAAAAAATCCTGTCCGGTTATCATATTTTTTACAAAACAATGAAAATATAATCTAATTCACGGATGTTCAGTACGAAAGTATGAAGTCTTCTTATCAATCCCATTCAGTGTGCAATAACACATAGGGCTCGACTCGAAATTATCAAGTTGTTATCAATTATCAACTCAGATACTATATCTCTGCTTCATCTACAGAACAACGAATAAAAAATAAAAATAAAAGATACTTAGAAATGTTTTATAATGTTGTGATTGTCAAAATAATGAGCATCGAAAGCTTGACGTTTGATTTTTCCCTGTCAATGTGTCAGACTAGAAATTAAGCTGCTCTAGCTTAGCTTAGCTCGTATAGCTAAGTTTAAGCTATATCAGTCGTCAGCCAACTCAACGCATGCTAAATTAAATAATATCCATTATTTACGTAGATATACCAAATTCGGGCAAGCCCGTTAAGTTTCGAGCCACACCGGGTCTCTTACTTAATTGATTTTTTTATAATATCTCAGTAAGTTATGTAGATATTGATTCATTTGTAGTTTTGTATATCATTGCTAAAATGTTCTTATTTATACTGAGACAATTTTAGCATCGCAATACTTTGAGTTTTTGCGTATCTTTGGCGTAGACGCGATATATTTCTAGTGGTAACTTAATTTTTAGTCTGCATCATACAATACCTAAGCATTTCATTAGTCGTGTAAAACCTCCTTTCTATCTACTTCTTCGTTGCTAGGTTCCTATACTTAAAAGCAATATTAATTACAAGATTTTATGTAATTAGGGACTTTAAAATTAATGCTGTAAAGTTCAGGATTAATAATTTTCACCAAAATGCAATGAATGAAAAAAATAGATTTATAGAATTTTATTAAATAAAAGTGTATTCTATTTGTTTGTAGTTTGGGTTCATTTTAGAGTGACATAATGTTCCTACTTTACAAAAACTAAAACTGAACTTATTACAAGCCATTAAAGTCCATAATCAAAAATTAGTGTCACTGTCAGCTTTTTAGTGTTGATGCTTACACTGCATCGCTATATCACAAAATTGTGCGTATATTTGTATAAATAGTAAAATAAAGTTTATTATTAAAAATGAATAATAGCAGAATCAATTGATACCAAGACCGCGTGCCTTGTGAGAAATAATGACTATTCATAGGCAACCATTTTGTATGTCCCACGTTCCATATCATATTAAGGGCCTGTATCACAATGCTTGGACAACCAATAAGTACCAGATAAATTCGAAAATAGACCATTTTTATGAACTATCGGACGTTATAGAGTACTTAAATATAAGGTAATGAAACAAGCCCTAAATATTGCTATAGTTGTAACTCAATTTAAATAATAAATACTTTTTACATGCACAAATGGCTTTAAACAATTAAAATGCTAGCTGAAATTCAATGTACAAACTTACTTGACATAATCTGTGGTTTTTTATAGCTATGCCATTTTACTAGCAAGGCAAGTGAATACATTCTGAAAAAAATAATACATTACCTACCTAAAACTAGCTTTATGCACATGAAAATATGGTACAATACTGTTAAACCGTTTTAGAACTGAAGCATTGATTACATAAATAAAATTAATATATTTGCAAATGCATTCACGCTGAAAAAAAAACACGGCAGTAGGAAATCACACGGAAATTAGTCCATGATTTTTTTTTTATATTTTAGGGTTGTCAACATAAAAGTTAAATTACTAAATAGGTCATAGTATTCAGCTTCAAACTGTAGGTTTCCTAATAATTCCAATTTGAATGCCAAAGCGTTCATTGAATGAGTGCTTTATGCTTTCCTTACTTACTTATTTCTAGTTTAGAGTGAAAGGAGTAATAATGCTAAGGTAACTCACGCCATTTGAGGTTTTAGATATATGAAAATAATAACACAACATAAAATTTATGTTAATTTTGATATTGGTAACTATTTTGCTGACATACATTATTTTATTATTGGGATTTGAGTATTATTTTGCAGTTGTTGATAACTATTTTAGTTTGCTTATACCACTGTATTTGAAGTATGCTTGAAATATGGGGCATAAAAAAGTATGAATAATTGAAAATATTGGGTTGGTGGTTTTTATTATAACTGTGCAAGAGACCACTATAAAAAGGATCCATAGCTAGAGATAAAATCAACAGTCTGTATGTGATGTAACCTCCTTTCTGCCCATTCACATTTAAGACAGAATATTGGTATCATTAAAACCAAAGAAAATAGATATCTACAGAATAAAAAAAATCTAGTGTCTGTTTCCAATTCAGAGGCCTTTAACATGAGAGAATTACGTAGATTTTTTTGCAGTAATTATTGTTATACAATTTGATAGAATATAACAATAGATGGCTCTACCTACAGCATCAATTTGAAGTGTATGTCAGTCAGGATGGTTTTAACTTTTCATCCGTAGTAATATGAGACACAATAGTAAGCCAATTGGTATGTGGTGAACACCAGTGTGTTGACTTGGATGTCTGTATGTGTACCGTGCTGAGCTTGGATGGGGTTATATGTTATATCACTGAAAACCCTGACTGTAGATTTGGAATGCAGTTAAGAAAATAAAGATTGACTTGGTGTTGACTCAGTAGCTATTATTACACTAAAAATAATTGTTTTTTAAAGAAGCAATAAAGGTCACCACTCCCCAATCTTTATTGATGCAACCTGGATACCAAATTAATATGTAGACCATACTGTTCACTAATTTTTCTATGCCAACAAAGCAATGTGATTACAATTTAATATGCCATCATTTCAAAATGAAGTTAACACCAATTTCATTGATCAATATTTTCTCAGACATATTGTTTAATCTGTATTAAAATTTGCATAAGAACTACATTCTTATTCAAACTGCTATTTCATAGACAATGTTGATCATCCTCCTTTAATATAATTTTAATTATTTTATGTAATAGCTGTCTGTAAATAAATTTGTTTCATGTCAAATGATTTGTTATAGAAAGGTATTTATGTAATTGATATTATTTCAATAAACATCCTAAAAACCCATCTATGTTTATGTATTTCTTAAAAAAAAATAAACATTGTTTATTAAAAATATTTTATTAAAATTTATAATACAATCAATCATTTACAAGTCAAAAGAAATGTTTTAAATGCCTTAAAGTTTTTTGGAATATTTCTTTATATTATTCTCTATAACTTATATTTAAATGAAAGTTACTATATTAAGCTATAAGATTATCATTACATACTTAATACAATACTGCTTATAAATTAAAAAACATTTCTTATAGATGCATAAGCATCAATATTCTATTTAGTAAACAAAATTGGAATTTGTTCATGAACATACAGGTTTGGCTTGGGGGACCATTCCTAAGCAAAGGTGTTAACCTTATTATAAAAGCTAATGTTTACATGTAAACTGTAATGGCTATAGTAAGGTAAAACTTCATTAGGGACTGTGTTTTATGATAACAGTCATAAGGAAATATTACACTAAATCACCATAAACAATATAAGTAATTCATTCTATTAGTCATACCCGTTCTTACAGGATTTGAATTTAGAATCTCTTCAAGAACTCTTCTGAGCAGATTCGGGCGCGAGCATTCACAGCCAGTTTCATTTCGCTAATTTCCTTATCGATTTCTTCCATAAAGTATATCACAAAGTCGACCAGTTTATGTTTAAACATTTGCTCGGTGTGGAAATTTGTTATTAAGAAACTGATATGATATCCGTCCACCGGTTTCCGCCTCAGTACGATAAAATTTTCTGCTCTCATCATCATAAATCGCATGAATTTTTTGCACAAAATCTTTTCAATCTCATCTGCCTGTTTGATCATAATGCTCACTCTTATAGAGTTTATTGACGACTCGATCAACACTTTCTCGTTCGCATTACGAGAAATCACAACTGGATTCAAGAGAAGCTCTTTGCTTGTTCTAACCTCGACCTCCGGTTTGTTATAACGCTCTACTACTTGCGACGAAAAATGCTCTAAACACATCGCCGCTGTAAGCGTGTGGCGCACTGCTGTTAAATAAGGTTTTAATGTAGCCGACATTATAGCGAATTTTTATTAAAATTTAGAATATTCGTACCACACCTAGCGCGTTTGACAGTTTATTTGACAGATTTGGCAAGTGCATTTGATTACTCATAAACGCACACAGTCATCACAATTAATGTTGCCAATACATTACATTATTTTTCGTCATTTCTTCTCAGAGTACCTAGTCACTTGGTCAGATAGGAAATATCGGCTTCATCTAGTTTTTAACATATAATTTTGACGAGTAATAAAGTGCTGTTTATGATGACCCATTTAGAAAATTAATGAATTGTTTCATTTTATGAATAAAAATAAAAATGAAAAACAAAGTACAAAAGGATAAATCAGTCACTCATTTCGGTTGCAGATATGCAAAAGTTGCACCTTACCTTACTGTACTGCACCTTTGTATTCATGGTCTATATATTCTTGTTTTTACTTTTGTCTTGTTGGATTAAATGCAAAATAAAACTGCACATAACAGAGTAATAGTCACGTAAAAAGTAGCTATTATAATATTATAATTGAAGAAGATTCGCTTTTTATTTGAACCGATACACTGTATCAATAGGATCTGCCGTCTGCTAATGGATAAAATGAAGTTAGTTGGTGCAGGTGACTAATATAATGGTCAATCAAACATTTTGTATCTTTAATTCATTTTGTTTGCTATACCAACGCAACAGAATAACATGACATACCAATTATTGGCAATAATATGTAACACATTTTCCTGTATGAATAAATTAAGATTTCCCAAGGTTTTCGTCGACCATAAACATACTTTGTATGAATTTTCCTTTGTCATTTTTTTTTCAAACTGGCAATTGAAAACAATGATGGCGGCCGATTGTTAAGTGATGGAAGTGTAACGTTAACGGCATGAGTTTTATTAACAATTCTATAGTTAAAGTTGTACTAAATACATTTTTAACATTAATAGTGAACATATGACCAATTAGTGTAATAATTATAACTATCAGAAAACATGGCGCGAGAGTTTGACCACCTTTTCAAACTGCTGATTATCGGTGACAGTGGTGAGTGGGCGAGGCCTGTGATGTTATAACTTTACAACAGATATTTAGGGCTGCGGAGCTTAGTAAACGGTGTTATGTTGTTATGTTTTAGGTGTGGGTAAAAGCTGTCTTCTCCTGCGTTTCGCCGACAACACATTCTCCGGTAGTTACATTACTACGATAGGGGTCGATTTCAAAATAAGAACTTTAGAAATAAACGGTGAGCGAGTGAAGCTACAGATATGGGATACGGCGGGCCAGGAGAGGTTCAGGACGATAACAAGTACGTACTACAGAGGTACGCACGGCGTCATCGTGGTCTACGATGTCACGAACGGAGAGTCCTTCGCCAATGTCAAGAGATGGCTGCACGAGATCGAACAGAATTGTGATGTTGTTAATAAAGTCTTAGGTGAGTCGAATTTTACCGATAAACCCATCATACGCCTAGTATAGCCCATCACCTTGATCATAACCACCTGCAGTACTCTTTGTACCATCTTAAAAGGTAGATAGATAAATAATAACAGTTTTAATGACGTTAATTTAAGTTATAATTGGTAATAAATGGTTGAAACAACCATGTTATTGCGATTTCTCAACTCTACCATTCATTTGTACCATTGTGATTGCAAAATAATGACAACAAAAAGAATCTTCTGTCACACTCTAATTACTTTGAGTTGTTTAGTTTATTTTAAGTAATCATTATATAACTGAACTGCTTTCTAAAGGCTATCAAACTTTACTTACAAAAAAAACCTTATTTCCAAAATCGAAACTGTTTTCCATCTTTGTTTTTTTTTTGTGTTCAATAACACTGCAAGAGTAATTCACATTCTTTGTTATTTTTGTGATACTAAATTAAGCTTTCTACAATAATATTTATTGAAGTGCAATGAGATTATACTTTTAATACCCATAAACAAATGTAAACAGTATTTTACATAAACAAATAACTTATAAAAAAGGTTTGATATCAGTTGTAAAAACCTAAATAGATAAATGAGAACAAAGGAGGTTGTAATACTTCCCAAGTTCTATTTTGAGTTCCACCGTCTCACCATCAATGACTAATCCATTATGATCTTTGTTATAAATACCAATGTATGCTGAAAAATGACTGAAATTCCATTAAAAAGGAAGTAAATTACTTCCTGTGTGTATGAGTGGCTGTTATCTAAAATATGTTGTATCTACATTGTCATTATTGTTATTTTTTAGGTACAACAGTTTTAGTAATTTTATTGATTGTCAAAGTTGCAAATTATTATTTAGACATACTATTTATGTATAGATTTGATAGCATTCCATTGTAATATTTGATTACTAACAACACTACTTATTCTATAATATTTTTTAGTTTTAGTTTATAATAAAACCACTTCTTATTTATAGACATAATAAGTCAGAATTAGTGTATGTAACACTCATTTTTACTATTTATATTATAAGTCCCATGTTATAGGGGGTCAGCTGATTCCATTTACCAGTAAACAAAGAAATCCAACATTACTTTTTTATATGCTCTCAGTATTACCATATAATTTAAGACATAGACTGTATACTGACCAATGTTTTTCCTTTTTTCAGTTGGTAACAAGAATGATTGTCCGTCAAGAAAAGTAGTGGTGACAGAAGATGCGCAAAGGTTTGCCAATCAGATGAACATACCGTTGTTCGAGACAAGCGCAAAGGAGAACATTAATGTAGAGGAAATGTTTCTCACTATCACTAAAATGGTAAATATATTTATTATTATTTATTTATTTATTTAAATTCTCACATGATGGGCTTACCATAAAGAATGCATTGCAGAGGTAGAAAAAATTGGTTATTGATAGTTGTAAATCATGATTTGGTTATATAGAATTGTTTGTAACTAGCCTATTTCTAGGGGACATATATTCTGACTTAATATTTTTGTTTATAGCATAGTTTATGTTAAGAATGTTCGTGTACCAAATAGTTTGCTGTAGTATTAGTTAATAATCTCAAGCTATTCTCAAGTATAGCTACCTAGAATACAATTTCAGGATTATTTTCTCACATTTATTTTACTTTGTTAGCAATTTATTGCAAATGTAACCAAATAAAGGCCAAAGTTAAGAAATTGAATAATTTGATGATTTGACTGCATATACCTACCTATGTTATTTAAAAAAAGGTATGTTTGGGAAGCTGGAAATATCAAAGCTATACTTAATTATTTTAATTATACATAATGCAAGCATAAGTAATGGATGGTGGTGTAAACAAAATGAATAAACCAGAATGAAGTGGTCAAATAATATCAGTGTTTACCTCAATGAACTTGAGTTGCTGATATTAGTTTCCTAATGTGAAAATGTCTGATTTTGTTAAAAATTGTTGCAGCTTTTTAAAAATTTACACCTATGTACTTCCCACATTTTTGCACCATGTTAAGGCCAAGTTTTTTCGTAAACTTTGAAACTAATATATTTTTTGTAATTTCCAGGTACTAAGATCGAAGCTCGAAATGAAAGAGAGGCAAAATGTTACAAAAGACACGGTACACCTAAAGAATAATATCAAAACCAAAAAGAAATGTTGCTAGTGGTATATGCACCTCTCTGTGCCACGGACAATGTTCTCGATGCTCAAATATGGAGAGATTAGTTGTACAGCCTAGCAGGTTGTCACTGCAACACATGTTATTTTCATTTTATGAAGGTGAAGCTTTATGGTTTGATATTAGGATGATAAAAGGAGACTGCATGCAACGGATCACAGACCTCTTAGCCATAAAATCAGAACCGGAGCAAAGAATACAGTTCATGTTAAATTCAAATTGACAACATATAGCAACTTGATAAAGCTAAAAAAAAGAGTATTAATGAGAATTAAGGATCTCTATGGTTAATGAAAATGTCTGTTGTCTGTGGTCACCCCTCCATTTGAAATTATGCACTTATATTGTTAGGTGGTGCTAATTTAATATTGATATTAATTCAATGGAACATGTGTGTGTTATTTAGGTTACAGCAATAGTTCTGTGTAAATTGCATTTGTATGAGTACATATCTTATAATGAAGCTAATTACTTGATTGTACATTGCTAACAAGTGCTTGCCCAAGGACGAAACTAAACCAATTACAATAACTCAATTAGAAAATGACCAAAGTATTGGTAATTTATAAAAAACTTGCTAGGTTGAACAATCTCAAGAGCATGTACATACTATGGATTTATTTACTCCAAAAATTATTAGAATATAACGAATGCCTAGTTAATGAATGAGTGTAATCTAATTATCAAAATTTATGTGATGGTTCGACGAATGTTTAGTGTAAGGAAGTATACCATTAAACTTTATTTTTTATTAAATGATAATCATTGAATAGTGGGTCATTGAACGCTCTGACGGCCCTGATCACCCATTGAAAGAAGCTATAGATACAATTGGAAACATCTAGATCACATTTGTTTGTAGTTTTGTTGCTAGCCCTATATGAGTGCGTGGTTCCCATTTCAAAACAAACGCGTCAAATATCCACCATAGTAATTGTTCGTCGCGCAATTTTGTGAATGGGCATCCAACAGTCTAGCACAACACCACCAAAATGAATAAAAAAATTGGAAAAATTAAGCTATTAGGCTATTTGTGTCTACAAATTACAAAAGTCAAAGGCAAGTTGTTAATGAAATTGGTCTAAAATATGTTTTAAAAGTATTATTTCTTATGAAAAATTACCAGCAACGCGTATTCGTTAGACCGACATTACCCGCGTACATGTTGAATCCAGTGTATTTTCAGTGAGATATTTATATTTTTTTAATTATTTTAATATTGGCGTAGCGTTTTTACAGTATTCTGTATGAAATTGAAATTCCAAATTAATTTATTTTTAACTCTTAGGAGATATTATTTTCAATTTAAAGTAGTAGTTTCTGTGTACCTTTTGGATTGAAGCAAATAAGGGATTTGAGATGTCACACAGCATCTCTGTAATTAGTTGCATTTAAAATTCCATTATTACTTTTGTATGATAAATGTTGAATTGATTGCATTTGGGTAACAAGCACAGTTAAAAGTTAGTTATCCCTAAACTATCTATACATATCAGAATGTAAGATATATTTACTAGGGAATGGAGTGAAAAGTAACAAGTACTTTAATAAACTTGAGTACACAAAGTAAGTGACAATAGTTAGAGCCTAAACACAGGAACAATTTGTAAAGTTCAATATTATGTAGGGAGAGAATAAAAGGAGTTCTATGTTTAAAAATGTCCGTTATTTTGGAACAAGCATGCGGCCGTATTCAAATAAATTTGAACATGGATCCGCACCTTATCCATATAATTCTGTTGTACCTATTTGCGATATAAAGTTTTATAGTATGGAGTATTTTTGCAGGTGTTACCTAGTTTATGGATAGCTTTCAATGTACTTGCAATTTGGTTACATAATTAACCTTCAGTTTTATTGCAAATACATCACTTAACAATGCAACAAATCTTATTTAATTTATAAATTTCAAAAAGTATCATTGTAAAAATTGTGTCATTGATTTGTGCATCGCAATAACTCTTATAATGTGTTTGTACTATATAAAGTTTCGAACTAGACAATATTATGAAACCATTTAATTTTAAATGTATGCTTACTAAAAATGCGTCGGATTAAGTCTGTTTTGTCTTCCCTCGTGAAACCCCCCATGTAATAAGTATCTTGTCCTCATCTCGAGCCGTTTTCGACACATTTTTATAAGCCTGTGTATCTCAAAATATAGTTTTAGCTTTGGACTGAACTTTATTTTACAGCAGTATATAATATCTTATGGCATTTTTTTACTTTAAGATTTTACAGTATGAAACCCCTATAGTTTGTGAGCTAATTTTAATAATATACTTGTGTTATATATTTGTTGCTGTGAAAGCAAAAGTGGCTTATACTACATTTGAGTTCTTGAAATGCTGGGGCTACACTAACAATTAATGTCACATGACAAATTCTCACTAATACACGATAATTTCACACTCGAAATGTTAACATGAATGTCCATCATTGCAAATATCAACGGCATTAATTTTACCTGAACTAAAGCAAGATGCAAGCCGACACTGGCCTAGTATAGCCAATGCATCGCATTAAATCTCGCGCAATAATGGCATTTCCTTTAGTGTGACCCGTGCATAAGAATGAGGCAACATTACATAAATCTCGAATAATGTTAACGTAAATAATGTGTCGGTTAGGCTACTTTTGCTGTGGAAACACGCCAAAAGACTTGCTCGAGTTTTTAGAATTACCTGCTAATGAATGAAAAATTAATTTTGAAATACTATCACCAAAATCTAACATGTCTGGAAGTATCTACGTCTTGTCAGGACTTACCTTTTATCATAGTGTGCAAAACCAAAAGTAAATTGTTTAGCTGACGATCATTCCGTACACAACGTTTGTACAATCATTTACGGCGGTTTAATTAATTATGCGTGAATTGTAACGCGTCATTACTCATTTATTATTTATGGAAAGTATTGTTCATGAGTCATCATTTTGTTTTAATACATAGTTGTAAATATATCCCCTATTTTCATCATAATAAATATGTGTTTTATTATCCTTAACATGATATGATTTGGTGACCAAAATATATCCTACTTTACAAGGAAGGAAATTACCAATACCGAAATATTCGCATTCCAATAGGTACTAGGTTTGGGTATTCTTCGAAGCTGTGATGCTGACAAAGCAGAAGGTGTGTATAAGCTATGGTTTAGCGCATGCTTTAAAGAGACAACAGACCACCTTAGCCGGGGCACTACAGGCATGTTTTTTTTATGTAATTGGTCGGCAATCGAGCAGACGGATTACCTGATTAGCAATCAGCGCCGCCCATGGACACCCGCAACGGAGGAGTTACGAGTGCGTTGCCGACCTTTTAGGGATTAGGGATTTGGAGATTTAGGGATTGAGGAATCCCTCCTCAATCCCTAAATCTCCAGAAAATGGGGGCTAGGAAGGATTGGGCCTCCGGTAACCTCGCTCACACGGCGAAATACAACGCTGTGGTTGTTTCACGCCGGTCTTCTGCGAGGCCGTGGTATCACTCCGGTCGAGCCGACCCATTCGTGCCGAAGCATGGCTCTCCCACATTTAATTGATGTACAAACGGGGTTGCCGGGCTAGCGCAATAAGGTACCGCGGCCTCAGCCTAGAGCAGGAGCAGGGGTTTTTTTAGTAAGGGACAGACACTACTTAGGGCGAGATAAGAAATTTGAAGATGTTCCCCTCATAAAAAAATTAGGGAGGTACCTATGTTGTTATGACGTGCCTTCATCTATTTACCGGGGCTGCTGGTGCATGCGCAATATTCTTCTTTCTCTCTTTGTATTTTTAGTCCTAAACTAAAAAAAAAGAAAGAGCGTAGGGCGAGAGAGGCCATACGATGGTTTTGCCGTCTCAAAAAATAACACCGATTTGTTTGATATAGGTACCTACGTATACAGATCCTTTTCCGATTTCGCTAAAAGTGGAGACGTTCAGGTACCTGTAAGAGAAATAATATCTGTATCGTATTTTTTTTACGGATACTTCGGCAATCAAACCGAATTTCCACCAGATGGTAAGCAATGGCGCCGCCCATGGACACCCGCAATACCAAAGGAGTTATGAGTACGTTCCCACCGTTATTGGGATAAGGGTTTCGGATATTCAAGGATTGGGAATGGTAGAAGGAGGAGGGTTTGGGTCTACGAAAACCTTAACCACACGGCGAAACATGACGCTGTACCTAGTTGGTTCACGACTGTTTTCTTTGAGACAGTGGTATCACTACAGTTGAGCTGACCCATTCATGCCGAAGATTGGCTCTCCCACACTTAGAACTCACATCAACAACAACAAACACCTTATAATGTGAGTTCACATTATTGACGAATGGCGCATAAGTAGTGCAAGAAAATGAAGCAGTACCTACACGTATGTGATTATTTACCTACAGAGTTTTCCGATGAAACCTGACTCATAATCATAGAGAACCATTACAATCTTCTTGGATAACAAGATAATTTTTATTTCTTTTCTAAAGCATGACGTCTACCAAGTGCCAATTTCGTTTGTTTTCTTGCAACGACTGTGGAGAAAATTATTCCGACTATTCTCACAAGTCGAGTATTTTTTTGTGTTACAAAGTTTTAAGAAGAAGGATATCATTAATTGCAGAGAAAAATGTGTCAGTACCAGAAGCGACCCATCGGTGTTAGCAGTACAAGGTGAGGATGCCAAATAGCCACACCACATTATGTTAATAGCCAATGTTTTTCTCTGGATTAATGGGAACCAGGTCAGTAAGTCGTCTTAGGGACAGAGCAGCGGTGTCTAAATCGTCTTTGTACAACATCTAAATTTAATGATGAATTGCTTTTTAATTCATTGCTGTCTAACGGAAAGCAAATGGCTTTAATATGTAGCTAGTTTGCTTCTTAAAAAATAAGCAGTACGTAAGTAAGTATTATACCTAAATATTAGAGAACCGAAAATAAAACAAAATTTTTAGTCAGATAAGTTGGCTAAAAATATTTACAACTTGAAATGAATGTCTTGAAATCGCACTTCCAACCAGTACATCATGTTTACTAGTTTTGATCTAGAGACCAAGGCAGTATTTCCCTACATAAACTTTAATTCAATCCAAATATCTCTAATTTCGTAACTATGTTAAGACTTTAAATAAACTAGGAACTGATTTTGCCTGTATTTGATAATGCAGAAATAGTCTTTGGTATATTGATCTGAAAATGCTAGTAGTTATACTCAAAGGCATTTTGACAACTAAGGAAAATAATGATTACTAGTCTTTGTCCGCCTGTGGAACATTTCTGGTTAGTTCGACAAGAAAAGTAATTTTCTTGAATTTTATCCACAATGTCTGCGTGGACCACCCTAAACCGTGTGGTGTTCAAGCGAACCTCCACCTTCTTCTTGGCTGGAGCTGCCGGCGCTTTCTTCTTTGAAAGAGCTTTCGATGTTGGTTCAGTTGCTCTATTCGAGAGCATAAACAAGGGAGTAAGTAATGTTATGTAATTTTATTTTAAAATATTTTACTGGGTTCTTGGTCTTTATTAATTAATTTTAAATTAAAACAATTCCCTAAAAGTCGTAATGACTAGATTAAGTTCACTGAATTGACTTAAGACGCAATTTTTTAAAATAACCTTACCTTATTCTCACCAATTTGTTGTCTGGAAATAAGTTTGACTTGTATTTTATGTTGTCTACCAGTACTTTATGAGGGAATTTTTCTTAAGTTTGTGAAAAGACGAAGACGAAGAAGTTTACCACCACCCCATTTCATTTATTTCGACGCCTTAATGAAAATCAGCTGTTTCTGTCATTTTGTCTGATTGCTATTGAATAGAATATTTTTGGAGTTTGAGACTATTAAGAGATATGACATAGAAAACATTGTGTCACACATAGACTTACGCTTTGGCGTACCATGGGTTAATGACTCTTAGTCCATCACTGTGATCAACCAATCAATGGGTCTAGATAATATTTTGCATTCTCATTTCTTAATTAATGTTTTGATGTTTGTGCCTCTTACATATACATAGACACATGTGGTATGATTTCAGCCATTGAAAATGTTTCATAAAAATATATCTAAGCACAAAAAGTCTATTCCTGTGCCTCCCCAGAGTTGGGCCATATAATTTTAGTTGGTGTGAGAGTGATAAACAAAAAGAATATCCTGCTAAGAAAAAGTAGTACTAGGTACTATTTGTATGATGGCACCTAGTGCAGTCACACCACACTAGAATGGGTCATATTGTGCTTCCCCTTATGACATCTAATTGGGCTGGTAGAAGTCATTGATGCACCAGTGGCTTTCTGCTTTTTTTCCTTAGGATTATTTTAATACACACATACTGTAATAAATTCTAATCTCAATTTCTTTTCCTTTCAGAAACTATGGAAGGACATCAAACATAAATACGAGTAATGCAGTAAAACAACACAAATATTATGAAGATTTAATTTATTAGATAATTGTTAATTGCTTGATTAAACTGATTAAGTCAAGTTACAACTGTTTTTTAATTCATTAGGATGACTAGATTATAGTGGATTACAGTAACTTGTTGATTAACTTAATAAGTATAAAAAATACTTTTTGCTTCAACATACATGTGTATTACAAGTTATATTTAGTTTTCCGATCATAAAATTCTTTCTAAAAAATTACTTCACATTCATTTTAGTTAATATTTACAATTTCTGAATAGAAACCATCGAGAGTCGAAAATAACGACTGATTCACGTAAAAAAACTGGGAAATGCTCTACTCGTTTCAAGTCACAAAGGGACTCTTATTATTAGCAATGTGCGTGTCGCTCTAACGTAGTCAATTAGGAGTTTAGTCAGAATCTAAAAGAGCTTTTCTCAGTTAGTTATATCACGTGAGTAACGCCCGGTTTCCGAAAGGCCGATCAATGTTAAAACCAATTTTAATCTCTTGTCAAGTCATCTGATTGGTTGTTGATAATTCAATCCTATTTTCAGTATTTCTATTAACTAATCTCTTGTTAAATCAGAGATTTAGATCAGACATCAGACAGATCTCTAAAATTAACTAATCTAAACAGGAGATTAGTTAATTTTAGTGTTGACAAGCCTTTCAGAAACCGGGTGTTAGTCTTTATTTTCAATAAATATTAAATTTATAATTTGAAATATTTTTTATTAAAACTTTCAAAATGATCTGATCTGAATATTCAGTTTTTTGTAATTGCTTACATATTTTCATTTCGTTACGTATTTCATAATCGTGTATAATTGATAAGAAAATTAAAAACACTAAAATGAAGATAATTTTAAAAATAATAATTGACATAGGACGAAAACAATGGAAGATCTTTACAAAACTAAGAAGGGTAGTAAGAGTATCACTCCTCTTTTTCCGAGCACCATTGCACAAATAATTATTTGAAGAAACCGCAAAACTAAATATCTATGATTCAAATGACCATTTTCGACAACATCTGGCCTGGGTAACGGGCACTATTTGATAGTATATTAAAACTGCTGCAAAACTGGCTTCACAATCAATTGGAGATGGATGCTGTTTTCGGTCGTGACAACGTAGTTGAACAGGCTTCGAGATTGGTGGAAAAATTAGCACTCAAGAACTGGCCCAGCCGTCAAGGATAAAATTAAATGATCCTGTTGACTCAGTCAGTTCTCGACAGCAGAACATCCCACATCATCAGCTAGAGGTGAATTCTTTATCTAACCAGCTTTACAACATTCTTTCAATACTCAAGGCAGCTAAGTATCAATACCATCAATTTCTAGCTTACATATGGAGCCTGAAGCTTCAGCCAATTTGACTAATATTCTCATCCACCCAGGACCCCTGGTACAGTGTACCACCGAAACCAAGTTTTTTGAGGAATTAATTATTACTAGATATTAATAAATGATTGACGTCAAACGACGTAGAGTAACTTAGGCAATATCCAAAACAGGAGGCGATCAATGGTTTAGAGATTATAAAACTTACGTAAGCTGAGAACCGATTTGTGCGTGTTTTTGTTTCATCAATGACTGGCAGTCAAAAATTGTTGTTTGACACTAGGAAATTATCTTTCAAGGACACCAGGCTACATTTTTCTCATTATATTTGCAACTAGTTATTCTAGTAAAAAACTTATCCGCTAACCTGTCCTACCAGAACAATTTAGCAATTCTTGCATCATAACGACATACATTTTTCCATTTAATAAAACTCTTACAAAACATTTAATCACAGTAATAATCGTAATCTTAAACTATACTCATAATTTCCATGCGTATACACATTACGGGCTACTGTCGAGCTCGAAATCGTTCGGGCAACCTCATAATACGTGATATTGCCACATAAAAATATCTAATTAAAAATATGTACTACAATAATAGTTAGCTATAGTTTTATATAAAAAATAATAATTACAAAACATATTAAGTATTTATAAACTAATTCATTGGTTATCTTAGATCACTCGTTAATTCTTATTTATAAATATCCTAGGCTTTTGACAGATTCTTGTATTTACTTATTAACAAAAGAGGTGTCTGACAAAAACCACTCGGAAAGCTTCTGTGGGGCTGGCGTGGTCGTATTGTGACCAAAAGTCCCTAAATTTATAGTAGATAATAAGCAAAAAAGGAAAGCTTCTGTATTTCATATACAGAAATTTTAAAATAAAAAAAAACGTCGCGTAATTTATGGACACCCTTTTTTTTTGTGAGGGGAAAATCATCAAGTGACTTCTCCTGAATTTATGGACACCTAAATACAACACTGGAAAAAATACATGTACATAATTTTTTCTCACTTTTATAAATTTATTACTGTAGAGAAGAGATTATAAGAGATTCTATATCTAAGTCTGTATATGTATATATGTAAAATATTACGCAGTTATTCGATGTTGAACAGAGGTAGTTAATGTTAGACAAAGTATTATAAACCGTAAAGTTGTAACGTTAAAGAATCATTTTGAATGTATTATACTAAAAGCTGCAATTAGGTATAATTTATCAATTATTAAAAATTCAACCGTAACGTTGTTGAAATAAGACTATATTTCAACAACGTTATTTTTATATCAGTATATTGAGTTGGCACTTATTAACGTGATTGGCTAATCAAAAACCGAAATTATGTCAATTGAAATAAGGTTTAACTTCTCAAGAAAATATATGCTATTTCAACAACTACATGTATAAAAAATACGTATTTATATTCACTATTCTTCATAACATGTTCAATCTTAAAACTTAGAAATAAAGTTCAAATTCTATTAAAAATATAGATACAATTAAAATTCTATTTAAATAAATAGGAAATCATCAATCCTCTTTTCCATTTACAACACAACAATCATTCCTTTTTTAAAGGTCAATAATGGAACAATCTCACCACAGCGCGTTAGCGCGAGATATTTTAAACATTAACGTCGTAGCTCTGTGATTGGTTGGTTAGGATTATAATAGACCAATCAGAGAGCAAAGCAAACTTGTAGTCACTCTATTAAATAATGAGTCCAATTTCCATTATGATTTTTTCTCCAATTTGATATTTAGGTTACCATCTACACAAATATTATCGGTATAAAAAAAATAGTTTTTGTACGTATGTTTGTAATGTATAAACACAATAACTACAAAGCTGATTACAAATATTTCTTTCACAATTATTGCAAAGCTATATTCACTCTGAGTAAAAAAATACTATATTTTTTGTAGCCTAGGTCAAACATAGGCTATGTTTTTTGTAGCCTAGGTTAAACCGGCTATACTTTTTCTAGCCTAGGTAAAGTATAGGCTATGTTTTAAAGTTTATAATTTGATCGGCTTAAAAAGATTAAGGATACTTACTCAATCTTTAGTAGCGAGACCCGTAAGAAGCTGAGACGGGCTGCTAGTATAATAAAAATACCTAGGTATGATTCACGCTTTAATCCTATGGAATTAAATCCCAAAGATGACTATTTACTTTCATTCTTATTATCTGGCTCCTATCTCACCTGATGTTAAGCAATGATGCGACCTACGATGGAGCATGCCTACCCATAAGCAACCTATTTGATCCTTGAAGACACACAGACTTGAAAATAATCGCATTATTTCAATGTTTCTTTGCCACGATTCAGGCTCTGCCAGTAGGTCTTTACTGTTATTTTTTAATTAGTAACCTGAGCTACTATTAAGTTATTATTATTATTTTAAAGTTTCTTTAGCTACACACCAGTAATCAGAATGTTCATTTATCTTAATTATATAAATTACCATTTAAGATTTCCCACATCGGAATCTGCCGTAGAACTCAGGGTCATCGGTGAGTGTGTCTGCTGACGACGATGATGGTAGAGACCTCGGCTGGACCGGGAGGGGGGAGTCGAAGTTAGGTTCGTCAGCCAACGCCCATATTATGTCCACTAGGAGCGGTTGCGCTAAATTCTTTATGGCGTCCTGTCTCGCGACCTGTGGAAAGCGAATATTTAGATCATGACGCCAGACAGGAAAGAAAGGACGAAAGAAAAATTATTTATTTGGATTCCCATGTCACATAAACAATTAATACAACACAATAAAAAATTAAGTATGATATAAAACATAAATAAAAAGAAAAACAGTACTTAAAAACTAAATCAACAAATATAATAAGAGCAACATAATATACCCGGGCCAATAGGGTTGCCATCTCAGTATAAGTTGGGCTTAGTGAGAACCTAGCACTATACTCGGAATTTTAATTCCATTCCAGATTTGACAATTTCAGTGTTGCAACGTTATGACACGTATTAAATAGTGACGTTGCGAAATTATTCGTTATGGAAATCGAATATTTCTGAATCGATTCCTCTCGTTCATATGTATATTTACTCTCGTAAACTAAGTTTATCACGAAATAAAATATTTCTGAACCGATAATTTAGTTTTGACAATTAATTAACGATCTGGGAATTTTCTTTTATTGTGTATGAAATTAATAAAAAATGTGATCATGAAGGAACATGACAAATAAAACAGTCATTTTATAAATTGTCGCCGTCATCGCTATCGCTGTTACTTTATGTAACATTTATTATGAATTGTGTCTGTGATATTTATTGTCAATTAACATTTGCAGCTTACTCATTTTTTCCTCTTCATTGACAACGTGGGATACGCATTTAGACCATTCGGTAGCCGTAATTTTTTGAATGCCTTCCTAAAACTGATTCACTGATTGTTTATCGATTTTTGTGTTCATCACTACACTGTTATATGTGGTATCATTATTTCACAAAATGACAGTAGGTCATGTCAAACCAGGAATCGAATTAAAATTCTGACTATAGTTTTCAGTTGGCACTCTTGCAGTGTAGTGCCCCAGCCCAGGGCAAGGGCAATGACTTCTCCCGCCCAGGGCCAGGCGGAAGGGAGTGCCAGACTCTTACTGACAAAAAAGACTGTGCCTCATTGCGCTTAACCCACAACCCCGGCTGAACCTCAGCCCTATAGGGCCCCGTCTGTGGTGGTCCATTGACTCTTTAAGGCCCGCGCGGAACGCAACGCGCCATACGGTCGGGACTGGTTCTGGTCGGGCGGCGAGCTACCCTTACTCGCCGTCCGCAGACCCGCGAGCTTAGTATCAACTAATGCTACGTGTTTCTAATGTATGTAAATACTGACCAATCCAAAATGGTGTACGATCATCTTGAGGGCGTACTCCTTGATGTCTGCGGCGCGCATGCGGTCGGCGGCCTGCAGGATGGCGAGAACGTTGTCGGGGGACACGTTGCTCTGCAGGTTGTGCTTGCAGAATACTTGCAGGCGGTTGTTCGTGAACCCTGACACGGACCAACCATTACTTTATTCATATTAAGCATATCGTGGCTTAGTGTGTAACTTAATTTTGCATTTGTCTATTACTTTACTAGTAGTAGGTACTACTAGCTTTCGATATACAGCAGGGAATCTTTCCATTCATAGAAATCGTTTAAGAATTGCGTTGTTTTTAACATAATTAATTAAATATACAAAAAAAAAAAATAAGTAACTAAGAAATTAAAAACATTCAAAAATTCTTAAATATAAATAAATTTAAGACATACACTTGTAACAAATATGACTATAGTTTTCGTATCGTACCTATATTCGACTGTAGCTAATAGTTTTTGTAGTCACCCGAACAAATTCTGCCAATGAAAAACTAAATAAAATAGTCGACAGTTTTTTCAATCCTGTTCAATAATTTTATGGCCATAGCAATTGGAGCATGTTGGCCTAAGTTAGTGCGAGCTGATGGAATCTCAAATAAGCGTTGTCTTGGACTGAATCTCAATCTACTGTGATCTACTGATTTGCTTGATTTGTTTTGATTTATAAATACTTACCGTAGTATATGGGAGCTTGGAAGAGGTACAGCGAGTCCTCAGTGGGCATGTTGGTGTCTCCGTAGTAAATGTAGCGTAATAGGGAATCGAACGCCTCCTCCGATGGCACCGTGTCGCAGATTTGTATCTACAAGAGGAATGAAAACTTAATTCGATTCTTGTATATCTATACTAATATTATAAAGAGGTAAAATTTGTTATTTATAAGTTTGTATGTAGGGTATCTTTGGGACCGTTGCGTTGGTCAATTTCCGAAATTATAGATTGAAATTCCAAAATTACTGATAGATTGTGTCATTGAGTTCTATAAAACATTACGCTACGATCAAATGGAGCCAAGCCAGAGGTAAGAAGCCAGCGGCTTACTTACGTAATTATTGGACGAGATACTCGACTAGTTTCAAGCCATGCTAGAGCCCATATTCATGGCCCGGGTAGCAGCGCGACAGTCGCTGCGTCGCGTGTTTTGGAAGGCTGCTCATGAATATGGGCAAACAATGGCAAACATAATAATTAATAACCGGCTGATGTCCCATCACATTAAGATTAAAACTGTTCAACGGGCCTCTGCGAGTTGGCTTCGGATCCTCGAACGCCTTCCAAAGGTCCGGGACCCTGTGGTGCCGTGAAAGGATAGAACAAACAAATAATAATAATAGTATAATACGTTGACGATGTTGTCATGCGGCGAGAAGGAGCGGAACATGGCCTCGAAGTATGCAGCCCGCGCGGCCAGCACGGAGCGGTGCGCGGCGCGCTGCGCCCCCCCCACCCGCAGCCGCACGTCGGCCAGCTCCTCGCCCCCCCCCAGCAGCACGCACATGTCCTGCTCCAGGGTCGTGCCTGCGGGGGGCAGTACACACGATTATATTACAATACAAAACGATAAACGAGCAGACGAATTACCTGATGGTAAACAATCAGCGCCGCCCATGAACACCAGCAACAACAGCAAGGAGTTATAAGTGCGTCGCCGACCTTATTAGAATTAGGGTTTTAAAGTTTTTGAGATTGAGGAAGGATTGCGCCTCCGGTAACCTCAATCACATGGCGAAACACAACGCTGTGGTTGTTTGACGCCAGTTTTCTATGAGGCCGTGGTATCAATCCGTTCGACCCAACCCATTTGTACCGAAGCATAGATTCTGCACACCATACTATTTGATTGACGTATCATTTCACACTTCAGAGAATTATCAAGTCCCTTCTCTCGCCTAGGGTATGGCGATAAGCAATGTCAGACTCTTACTGACTAAAAACCCCTCCTTCTCCTGCTCCAGGCCGAGGCCACGGTACCTTATAGTGCTTAACACACAACCCCAATTTACTATAGACCCCTTTGGGCTCTATGATAGTCTATTGCCTCTTTGAAGCAGACGGCTCACGCTTGAATCACGAGTAAGAGGGTACGTTCCACTCACCAATGATCTCTTCCTCATATTCTTGCTGTGCAGCTCCGTTGGCTTGCTTGGACTGCGGTTGCTGTCGTCTGCGGATGATCTCCACCATCAGACCCTGGTCCATCTCCTCGAATTCCTTGGACATCACTATAGGAGTGAAGTTATAGTCCTTCACCACGAACCTGGATCAAAATGGTGGTGATTACTTTAAAGCATGGTTACTGGCATATATAGAAATTGGAAAGGGGGGGGGAGCTTGTTTGGCGATGGAATTTGAAGGTTTATCAACAATAATGCTCTTGTGAAGGCCTGACATCAGTGTTCCGGTGTTTTCATGGTAGTATCTACTGCAGATCCTGGCATTTCAAAAAAAAGCGCAAATTTGTGGAGTTTTATGTGGAAACATTTCGGAGAGTGTTCAGGGGAACTGCACAACTTGATGCCCTTTAGCGCTTCCTACGATCGTATTACCAGACAATCGGCAAAACGGGGCAGTTTTTGCTTAGTTAGCGACCGATTCTGGTCGGGCATATCTGGCAACCCTGCGTATTGTGTTTCATTATTATTACTAGTCTGTGTCAAGTGTATTTTTGTTTTGCTTATTTTTAATTTCTCTTTTCTATTTCTGTCTTTTTAATCTTTTATTGTTACTGAACTTGATGTCTGTTGTCTACTAAACGTATTTTTCTTTCATTCTTCTTTCTAAAGCGTCATCTTATAAACAGCATAAGACTGACCTGAGACAATACTCCTTGATGCAGGACAAGGATGCATGATGCGCGGCGTGTAGAGCCTGCAGGACGTTCCCGTAGCACAGGTTGGCGCGGAGGAACCTGGCACACAGGCCCCGGAGGCGCGGGATACTCAGTCTCAACGCTAGCCGGAGGACTTCCATCACTAGGAGGACCGTTGCTGGAGACTCTGGGTCTTCGTCTGAGGAGGATTGAAATTTTATTGAGGACAAAAATTTAGTTTTTCGTTGGTTTTCGGTCGTCAAACGGGCAGACAGATAGGACGGTAAGCAATCAGCGCCGCACATGGACAGCAACAGGAGTAACGAGTGCGTTGCCGAGCTTTTTGGGTTTAGGGATTTGGAGATTTGGGGATTGGGAGGAGGGTAGGGCCTCCGTTAACTTAACTTACACTGCGAAACACAACGCTGTAATTGTTTCACGCCGGTTTTCTGTGCCGTGGTATCACTCCGGTCGAGCCGACCCATTAGCCATAAAATCTTCTCCTAAGATTTTTGTTGTTTATGTAGGGAAAGACAGTGGCAGAAATAGAAAGCGTATTTTACCTTTCTCTGTGGGGTCGATTCTATCAGTGTAGATATAGTTGAGGACCATGTGGAATGCTTCAGGCGTGGCTTCAGGCAGCAACACGCACAGCTGTGGCGGGGACTTGTAGGAATATACTTCCGTCGCTTCTTCTTCTCCTGCCGCGATACGTTTCGTTAGCTCGTCGCGAGCTTCCCTGGTAGAAATAATAGAGATGAATAAAATATAATATTATTATATAGGAGAAAAAGCAAAAATTATATAGGACTAGCTACTCTCGCGCGATTTCACCCGCTGCTCGGCTCGGAGTAATCTTTGGAACCGCTGGTCGGATTGCCAAAATTCTTTCACTGATAGATAGCTACAATGTTCCTGAGTGCTATAAGGCTATAAAACATCATCAGCTACGATCAAACGGAGCAGAGCAGCGGGTGAAACCGCGCGAGGGTAGCTAGTGGGGGATAAAGGCGTATGGGAGATAATTGGGAATGTGGGATAAGGGGGTATGGGGAATAAGGAGTATGGGCGATAAGGGGTAAATAACGGGGTAGGTTGGATATGAGGTCAACTTACTTCGATAAATCTAATTACTCACTTGATCTTAGCGCGTAGATACTGCGAGCGTGCCGCTAAAATGGCCTGATGAGCCAATATGGGGGTCTTGTCGGGACCCACCAATATCTGCACGTCACAAAACTGGTGAGACTTCAGTATGCGTCCGAAGTCATCGTGTAGAGTGCACCGAGGGTAGTTTGATAGCTGGTGGGAGAAAAATTATGTTTCACATTAATTATTGTATAATGTCATAAAGTCATAAGACAAATTGGTAGTGGCTTTGAACTAGGGATGTTAGGTATGGATATGAAATTTCGGATACGGATTTATTACAGATATAGGAATGATTATTATACCGGATACGGTTACGGATACGGATATGAAATTATTTCGGATTATCCGTTAGTTTCGCTAATTTCGGTTACGGATATTAAAGTTTTCAAGAATTTTAATAGTAAAATACAAACATAACTTGTCTCAATTAGGCTCCGCCCCTAACCCATATTATACGAAACTTTTATTTCGGATTCGGTTACGGTTACGGATATTTTTTATACCGGATATCCGATAGTTTCGGTTACGGTTATGGAGCTCCCTAACATGACTGCTTTGAACTCAGGTATGAGAAGCGGACGCCTTAACCTCTAGGCCTCCACGACATTTTGCCCTGGAGGTGAAGGGACCATTTCTCATATATGAAGGTGCGAGACTTTGTGTGCCAATGTGACTTTTTCCAATTTGTATTTACTTTCTAAGTTTATGTAGACACCACTAGCAAACGGCTGGGCTCTGGCATGGGATCTGGCTGCCATGCAACGTGTGGCGGGTTCGATTCCCGTAAGAAACAAAACTTTGTGTGACCCATAAATTGGTGTGTGTGAATTTGTTTGTAAAAACAAGAAAAATCTTAGTTAGGCAACGTCTTTAAAAAAATAATTGCAAAGAAACAGTGAGAAAAAACATTGTATGTAAACCTAGAATCAAAATTTTATTTCTAATGAAATTTGTAATCGCAAATCTGGTAAATGCACATCTCCCTCTTCTCTTTCTCTTTTATATTGCTGATAATGTCAAAGAAGATAATGGCTATATTACCACACTGCAAACTTTATATTATAATAATACCTGAAATCGGAAGAGATCTCCACTCCTGACGTTGTTATCAATGGTTCCTCCAAAGATGTAGAGCGCGTCCCCGACCACTGCGCCCGCGTGGAACAGTCGGCCTGAAGGGATCTGGGAGTCATTCGCTGGCTGGATTACTGACCTGCGAGATATAAGGTTAATTAAATAAAACTGTGGCAAGTGTTAGAGAGTCAAGTTTCAGCACGAATGGTTCGGCTCGACCGGAGCGATACCAGGGCCTCACAGAAACGTAGTAAAGGCATTGAGTACCTAAGCATGGTGATTAATGCTGAAACCTTCTTCGCGTGAGAAGAGGCCTTTGTTCAGCAGTGGGCATGTATAGGCTGATGATGTAAAGTTCATTTGACTAAAACTAATGTACCTGTGAAGGAAAACATTTTGAGTAAACCTGGACTTTTAATTTCTAAATTATAAGTTTGAAATCGCCAATCTAGCTTGAGCAAGCGAGGTGCTTATTGCTCAAACCTTCTCCGTATGAGAAGACGCCTTTGTTCAGCAGCGGGCACTTATAGTATATAATGATGATGTTTTTTTTATGTAATAGGTCGGCAAGCGAACTGACAACTGCAGCGGAGGAGTTACGAGTGCCTTGCCGACCTTTTAGGGATTAGAGTTTTGGAGACTAAGGGAATGGGGAGGGATCAGGGGAGGGGAAAGATTGGGACTGCGGTATGTGATACATTTTTGGTCCTCAGAGTCTTGGAAGCTCCTTACAGCTTCAAGTAATATTGAAGGTATCCGCTCACCATATCTGCGTATCCAAGTCATAGCAATGCAGGTCGTTGGGCAGCGTGTTGTCCGCGGCGCCCCCGAAGACGTATAGATGCGCGCGGTGCGCCACCATGACGTGCCCGTAGCGGCGCGCCGGGGCTCCGCCCGCGCTGCGCAGCAGGTGCTCCGTGCAGACACGACTCCAACTGAACCACAACATTATTTATATTCTATTAATTTATTCATACTAATATTATAAATGCGAAAGTAACTCTGTCTGTCTGTCTGTCTTTTCTTCACGCCTAAACTACTGAACCGATTTCTGTGAAATTTGGTACAGACATAGTTTGGAACTCCAGAAAGGAGATAGGATAGTTTTTATACCAAAAATCGCCGAGTCGCGGGCGGCATTATAAAACTGAAGAGTCTGTTTGTTGATTTGAACACGGTAATCTTCGGAACTACTAGTTCGAATTGAATAATTCTGTTTGTGTTCGGTTAGTCCATTTATCGAGAAAGTCTTTAGGCTATAAAACATCACGTTACGAACAGTAGGTGCCGAGCACCGAGTGAAACCGCGTGAGATTAGCTAGATTACATATATATTTTAACTTTTTTTTTGGGGTCAAGCCTGTTACATTCTCCGAAAACCGCTGCAATATGGTAGGCATTGAAATATCAAATATGATACTTTACTTTGGACCTTGTGTGAAGTGTGAACTCGCAAGATGTAACGTCATAATGTTTTTACGTCAAGTAACAAATTTATTTCTGCCATTTTTATTATTTTACATTTCCTTCATACACATTTCATATGTAGGTACTTACAACTAATATTGAAAAATACACGTAGGTATTTGTCATAATTCCCAGATTTTGATTATCTGATCTGATTAAGTATCTCTATGTATTAGTATACAGCCTATCTATGTATAACCATTAAAAAAAAAACTTACGTATGCGTCTCAAAATCGAACTGGAAGAGAGCATTGGTGATCTTGGCTCCACTTTGTCCACTAAACACGAACATTTTGCCGCGCGCCACCGCCACTGGGAAATTGCAACACGTCGGGGGACACTGGCCCTTCTGCTCTATTCGTTCCCATTGCCTGGTCTCACCCTGAGCGGAAATAGGTAGTGTAGATTTCATTTTTTTTAATACGTTTCCTCACTCTAAAATTTTCTCCGGTGTTGTGGGTGTGGTTACAAACATACAATTTCACATACACATCACACCCAGACCCGGAACAACAATTTGTGGATCACACAAATAGTGGCGACACATTTCACGGCAGCCAGTTGCCCAGCCACTGCACCAACCGTGCCGTCAAATGGGGTAAAAGACTTCGTGAAAGGTATAATAGACTTCGTAAAAAGGGCAATAGATTTCATAAAAGGTAAAGGTAATAGTCTTCGTAAAAAGGGTAATAGACTTCGTAAAAGAGAAACTAGATATAGTAAAACGTGGAATAGACTAATGGGTACTTAATGGACTTCGTAAACGGGTTAATAGACTTCGTAAAAGGGGTAATTGACTTCTTATCGGGGTAATAGACTTCGTAAAAGAGGAATAGTCTTCGAAAAAGTGATTGTAAAATAAGGTAATCTACTTACTAGCAAGTTGATAGTCCACATATCATTGAGGCGTGCGTTTCCGTCATATCCGGCGAATATCCACAGCTTGTCGTCGTAGACTGCCGCGCCGTGCGCCGACCGGGGCACCGGCTCCCTAAAACAAATACCAAGTTTTAACAAAAGAAACTGCAGGCTGTTATAATCACATTATCTTCCTTTCATGGCTTCGCACGCGACTAAAAGTAATGTATCCAGGTATTTTAAAAACATTAGCGTTTAAAGCGACAGCTTGACCAAAATAAGTGTGGGAGAGCCATGCTTCGGCACGAATGGGTCGGCTCGACCGAAGTAACATCACGACCTCTAATAAAACCGGCGTGAAACAACCACAGCGTTTTGTTTCGCCGTGTGAGTGAGGTGTGAAGCCATACTACCTATCACTCTGTTCAAACGGCCCTGTGCCATACCATGCTTGGAAATAGCAGTTCAGATTTATTTATCAGCTAATCCTGATGTTGTGTTCTTCACTCTTAAATACTTAGTTGGCTCTAACGACATCTATTGGAAGATTTGGAGTACTAGTATACTAAAAAATAAATAAAAAAAGAACTCACTGTCCACTAAACTTCCATTGCACCCATTGGGCGCTCTGGAACTTGTACTCGAAGAGATCGTTCTTATTGGTCAGGTTGGAGTTCGCCAGTATGTCGCCCGTGTACCCGCCGAAAACGAACATCGACGAACGATGCACCTGTACAAAATATTTATTAATTAAAATCCTAAATTAAATGAAACATTTGGACATTTTTATTCATCAAACGTTTTAGAAAAAGTAAGTATTTCAGTCAAATTCAATCATCATCATCAGCCGGAAGACGTCCACTGCTAGACAAAGGCCTCCCCTTTAGCTCTCCACGTCGATCGACAAGTTGCCACCTGCATCCATTGGCTCCCTGCGACTCAGACGATGTCGTCGGTCCACCTAGCGGGAGGCCTGCCCACACTACGTTTTCCGGTCTTTGGTCGCCACTCTAGCACTTTTCGAGGCCATCGACCGTCCGTCTTTCGAGCGACGTGGCCCGCCCATTGCCACTTTAGTCAAAAACAATACCCCAATATTTTAATAGACAAATGGGCATGCCAAAATTATTAACATTTAATTTAATTTCATTACATAATACCCTTTCTATACGCTTTGTCACGTTATGTTCACTTCTACAGTTCCTTACGCCATATTAAAATCATAGACAAGCAGTTGTTATTTTGAACTCACCACAGCAGAATGATGGTATCTAGGGGCTGGCGGGATGCCCATGCATCCAGTCTTAGTCCATGACTTCTCCCGGATATCAAACCTGATCAGATCATTCAGCATCGACTTGCCATTGTCGCCCCCAAATACGTAAATGGCGTCCTTATATGCTACGGCTGTATGTTTGCTGCGCCTGTTGACGTATTGAAACAAAGTTGTAAGTAGTATTAGCTAGTTTTCGACCAAGAGTTTGTAAGTGACGTAAAATATTACAATTTATCTGCCGTTTAGAATCTCACGAAAGTTTATAACCTTGATAACTTACATTTCCTAGTAAATTGATAAACTTACGGATCTTGTTATTTTCCGGTGACATATACACTAAATAACTTTATTACATTAAGGGCTGATTTTTAATCGATTTTATTTTGATAAAAGTTATCTGGGCAATAAATAATTATGATATTGTCGCGTCATAATGTTTGTATAAGATAGAGACAGCAACAACTTTATTCCTCGCATATTTATCAGACTATTGAAAGATCAGCCCTAAACTAAATAAAACAAAGTTAACCATCTTTTTCTTGTTGGCGGAAAATCTTCTAATGATTTCTCTTGGCTTGGCCATTTACTGTCAGATATTTACTAACCAAAAACCACGCCTTTCTAATCCTGCTCCAGGTGCCAGGCACCTGGAGGCCTCCAGGCCGCGGCACTTTCGGATTAGTTTATTAGCCATCGCCAAATAAAAATGGCGCCTTCCTATTTAAATTGGTCGACTGGGCTTCGTTTTTTAAATATAATTCAGATTTCAAATTTTGATGTATTTGTTGGGAACATAATGTATTGAAATTAAATCATCCAATTTCATTAACAAAATAATGCTTAGGTACTTTGTATTTTATTTATTTATTTAATATATTTATGCACAAAATGCAACGGGCATTCTCTGACAGCCAAACCTCTACTTTTGATTGTGTAATGACTTTTTGTTTTTGCTCTTTTCATTTTCCTTACCTAGCGCCTACAAACTCGTAGCATTCCGACATTCTTTTCCACTTGTGTACTGTTTCAAATGGTCCAAACTCCATGCGGAGACTGATGTCCAGCTCGTTTGGATTCCGCAGCTGCTCCGTTATCATCTTCCCTAGATTGTTCTGCATTTGTGATTATTGCTGTAAATGGAACAAATGTCTAATAATATAATGATACATTTATCTGGCATACAAATTATTTTGTGGCCATATTATTATCGCAAAATAGATCCTTATTAATCATATAATAGTATATTTTGCAGTGACTTGCAAAGGCAATGAATTTTTTTTTATATAAAACAAAAAGGTACTGAATGCCATCTGGTACAGATGGAAATTATTTTCTTAGATTAATTTATATAAAACATAATTTCAGCATATTACCTGATTGACTTTTCTTGGAATACTCAAGTACACTACGAAGGCGGTAATTATTATTCTAGATATTTAGCACTGAATCATACACCATAACCACTCTGAAATAACAATTTATTAATATTACTATACGAAAAAAAACAATATTATTGTATCGCAACTTTACTAAATAGAATGTCTACCAATCAATAAATCGTTGCAAATGAGGAGAATCTGATGGGATATCGTTCGCTGATTCTAATTAAAGACTAGAGCGACCCGGAACTGCGATAAAATAGGAAGAATTCTCAAAATAAACCAGTCGAAAATAGGTCGACGATATATTTCTTGAAGTCATTGACACCATAACAGTACATATTCGCAGACACGTTTTACGACCTTAGCACAGTTTAACTTACCTTAGACTACCATAAAGCTAAGAAATACGTGACAAAATCATATAAATCACACTTTTGTTTAAAATCTTCAAGAATCGTAAATCAATAAACTTTGTTATTATTTGACATAAACTTGAATGAATCAGTTCAATCAGTTTGTTTGATTTGTATTGAATTGAAGTTAGTGAACAATAGTAATGAATGAAACTGTTATCATTGACAGATGACAGATGTTGCAAACATTTCCCTCTTTATATTGTGATAAGCTTTCGAAATTAAAGATGTAGTTTTAGTTAAAAATCTGAAATTAGAGATTTAGTACAAATAAAATAATATTCAAAAAATATTGCATGATTTAATTTAGTTTCAATTAATATAATATACTTCTTGAACGTTTCTAAACTATCTATTTTTTGTTGTAGATAAAAAGACAGAATACCATTCACTCCTAATTATAAAATTTTCATTCAGTCAGTCAGTAACCGAACTTCGCCGAGTTCATAGAGTATGTAAACCTTTCAGAGACGGAACTTAGAACATTCTGTTTTTGAGAATTGTTAACCATCTTTAGCCAACCACATAACAAAAAACATAGCTACCAACATGAAAATTCTAAGGAACTGTCAAAGATAGGGATGTCCATCCTAAATTAATAAACTTATCGACATTATTAGTTTTCCGCAATTTATCGATATCGATAAAATGCATTATATGCAGCTACATAAGGCTTAAAATAAGTATATTATTTTGATAAATGTGGGAAAAATGAAACACTAATTTAATGTATTTATTTTGTATTTATTTATTTATATACTAGCTCTTCTGCCAGCGGCTTCGCCTGCGTAAATTCCACTATACAAACATTGCGCTCCTTTTTCACCTCCTTAGGGTTAAAATTTCTAAAAACCCTCTCTTATTGAGTGGTTACATAATTACAAAAAACACGCCCTCCAAGTTACAGGTCTCAACGAGCGTTTTAAGGCTGTGTGTTGATCCTTCAGTCAGTTATTCAGGACAAAGAATGCTTGTATAGATACTTGAACACACACAAAGTTACAGAAGCTGACTTAATGCCGTTATCACCTTTTATTATTCCTCATTTAATTTGGTATATAATTATGAAAAAATTGGTGTGTTCATGGTATAGCATATAAAAGGTTACAAAGTTACCTCACAAATAGGCAGCAATATTTATAAATCAACAATATTAGTTGTTAAGATATAATTTACTTATAAATTCAAATTAGCATAATTATGTCAAAGTCGGAGTCCCACAAGCCATGTACTGTAATGTGCCAAGTATATAATATCATGCCCACTTCTGTTCCTACTGTACATCAACGATTTAACAACATTATAAATCATCACTGTATCCTTATTGCAGATGATAAATAGATAGTAATTCCACAAAAATCGAATACTGAAGTTGTTTTAAACACCATTATATATGAGTCGACTAGTTTCAAAGACGGCAATCTGTGCATTTTTCAAAAAATGAGTTATTAATGTGGTAACACAGATAAATTTGAATAAAATCGTTTAAATATAGGTATATACAATGGTGAGTAGTATTAACTTAAAAGCTTATAAGATCAAAACCCTTTCCTAGAGAGGAAAGTAGAGTCCCAGCAGTGAGAACTTTATAAAGCTGATGATGATGACAATAGAAAACAATACAATTACAAATACAACATTTTATTGTTATTGTGTGAGACATTTACTCATACAATAACAATAAAATGGTACTATCCGTTAATATAGTTTTCTTGGGAAGTCATTCAGTAGTCAGATCTAATGGAAGTTACACATAGATAAAATCTGTTCCAAAATGTTTCTATACAACACTGGCAAACCTTAGTTATAAAAATAGAAAATTACAGTTATATCTTTATATTTATATTGTGCATCTTATTTTCCAATGCCTTGTTGTTGAGCTCTTTTGTTGTAGTCAGCAACAGTTTCTTCTTCTACAACTATATTTTGGTTGATGCGCTGGCATTGCCTTCTGATTAACAGAAGAGCCAGTCGATTGAATATTGCATTTTTTATTTTATTACTGTGCTCTTCACATGTTATAAAATTAGTATCGCAGTTGTAGTCGTCAGTTGACATATATTTATTGAATGCAGACATGGCAAGACTTCATTTTCAAATATTTTACAAGCTGCCTCGACCAACCTACACAGGTTTTTGGTGGGATATGTAAGAGATAACTTCTCTGGCCACCATTCTCTTAATTTTAAATAACTATAAATAGGATCGTCATCATCGGGATCGTCAACCTTTAAACATTTTAAACAAACGTCACATTTATAATTTTTTAAAATGATTGATACTATGTACCCACTAATATAGACAATAGGTTGTTGCTCTATTTCTGCTAAATTTGATTCGATAGTCTCAAACTCCTCTGGGATGCTTAGCACAGGAATTTCCTGACTGGTGCTTGGAGTAAAAGATTCGGCCAACTCGACTTGCTTTGGGAACAGCTCCTTTTTATCTGGGTCTTCAAAGACTTCATCGTGAAAATCTGTTAAAAGATTTTTAAAATCTTTTTCGCAGTTTGACCCCCTATTGTGTGGAGCTGTCATCCCTGAAATAATTGCCGTTTTAAGGGCTGCTATAAAAGAATAGCAAGTCGGGTTTCGATTTGTAGGGCTGTGCTGTCTTATTATTCCAAATAAATTTTCCAGAGCATCTTGGTTCAGCTGTCTCAAATTTAAATATTGGAAACCGCATGCTCTCAACTCCGCCCAAATATCGCGCAATGATTTTAATGTTGTTATATAGCCTTCAATACACCGCACATTCTTGGCTTTGATCCCTTTGGAGTTTTTGAAAACTACGGTTTCCAATTTAGCCCGGTATTCAACCCAAGCGTCCACATGGTCTGTCTTCATGGATACATTTTCCCGGCGCCCCTTTTTGACATCAGCTGGGCATGACGGACCATTGGTTTTATCAAAAAGTCGGTCGAGGTCATGTATTATTGTGCCAGTCTGCATCATCTCTTCCAATTTTATTGGGTCATGTTCTGACTGTGCCATCAGCTTTACAACTGCAGCTACTGTGGTACTCAAAATTTGAGTGGCATATTTTACTTTCATTTTTGCTCTATATTTTGGCTGCACATGCATTTGAGTTATTTTGCTAAGGTATAGGAGATTTCTATTTTTTTCCTCGGCTTGTATTAAATGATCCCATTTAGCCTTTATTCCACACATAGACATTTCCCCGTAGTTGTGGAAATTATTTCTTATTGACTTAAAGAGATGGGGTACATCATATATTATATAAACTTTTTTGTTTGATACATTAAAATAGTTATCATTTAAATTAAATTGTAAAGACCACGACTTTAATAATTTCAAGGCTCCCATATTTGTAGGGCCCTGATCACAAATTGTGGTTAAAATATTAAAACCGGTACTTTCAATAACCATAATAATTTCTTTTATTAAGACTGCCAGTTTTTGGGACGAAACTGTTCCCTTGACAAAATAAAAAGCCACAGGTTGCTTAAACTTTGCTCTTATACCCTGCAACATAAATACTAATGCATGATCAGCCAGTTGAGACCCGCGTCCTGCTTCTAAGCCGAAGTCCTCAAAGCCTTCAACTTTGTCAGTGCTGACGTCTAAGAAAAGACGCCGTTTCAAGGCAATTTCGTCAAATACCAACCCACAGAATTTGTCTTTCATATCTTTCTTGACAGAAAGCTTTTTTAAATGTTCAATTACTGCTGTGTTAATACCAGTAGACACTGGAATTTTTTTTTAAAACATTATATAATGTTTTAATGCTTGGTAATGGCATGAGCTGCTGCAAATATCTATAAGCTTTTGGTGACCTCTTAAATATAGCCAAAGCTGATATTTTATTTTTTGTGGTCCAACGGTGACCCTTAGGCTTTCTTTTTTGATTTTTAAGGGCAGACATCACAATTTCTTTAAGCACGCCTGACTCCAATTTTTCTAAAAGATTGGCGCTGCGCTTCAGTGATGCCAGGCTGCACTTCGTTTTTTTTAACTGCTCCATCAACAGCATTTCCCTTGGTGACAAATCTGTAAAAAAATTAATTGTAATTCAATATAAGCAAAATATTCTTTGAGACTAAATAAAGATAAAAGTTAACTGACTATTGAAAACTCAGCCTTTAGTTGTTTATAAAGTAAAATTATCGCATATGAGGAGTTATAATAATGTATACAGGGTGTAAAAAGATAAATTATTCATTTGTCATGAATTAAGGACTGGCAGTCAAATAAAATAGAACCTTAGTGATAAATAATCTCAATACATCTCCCTATTAAAAACACATTTCTTAAGAATGATATTGACAATATCTTCTTCAAATAATATAGTATGTAGTATGTAATATTTAAAACTAGCTTTACCCGCCTGGCTTCCCAAAGTAGCACTAAGTCGAGTACTCAGTGCTACTTTGGGTACAATGCCATTTTGTATAAATGGATTTTCAAAAATAAATTGTCAAAAAAAGAGTTAGGCAATTGATTTTTTATTTATTTAGATACTAACCATTTTGAGACAGCTCCATAGGGATATGTCTCGGTTGCTGGCTCGTGGATGGCACTGCTTCAGACAAAAGATCTGAAATGATACATTATGATTAAAAACCACTTTGGGAAACACCTGATGTATAAGGTCTTAATTGTTTCATCTATATAGGGCTATATAGGGCTGATTTTTCAATGGTCAGATAACATCCAACTTAGGGATAAATTGTTTTAGTTTGACATATTTTCTATACAAAAGATGTCAAACTGTCTTTTTAGTTCTGCATTTAAAAGTTATCTGTTAAAGTTTAAGCTAAGTATCTGTTTTTAAAGTTACCTCTGCATATCTATTCAGCCTGGACATGATTAACACACAATCACATATTGTTTAACATATCTACACTCTCACATAAACACAATAGTAGTATATAGTAGCATAAAATACCATTTTGAGTCAGTTCCATAAGGATATGTCTTGGTTGTTGGCTCGTAGATGGCACTGATTCAGGCAAAATATCTGAAAAATACAAGAACAAATCATGTTTTAAAACTATTTTGGAACCACCAAATATTCAAGGATCACTAATTGTTTCATTTTTGTTAATAGAAGTATCTTAACTTTTTATTCATTAAAATATAATTTGATAAGTAAACATTTTAATGACATGTTTCACCCATGCGGAGGTGGGGTCATATAATTATGTGTGAAGGACTAACAAATATACGCATACATACTTATAAATACAAAATTTACCTTTATAGGGTTCAATTTATTTAACTATTTAAAAATACTAAACTAATTAGAATATATACAACAAGGCAAGCAAAAAATGACTCATTGGGCATAAAAAAACTCATTCTCATCGCCGTCAACGGTAACAGTGTCCAGAACGCAGGCAGCATTGCCACGTTGAATAGCAATGCGGAGGTTGGAAATGATCTCACATTTCGTTTATCCTAATTTAATTTTCCCTCCTCAGATCATATTAACAGCTCTTAAAGAATTAGTGCGCTTTACCACCAATGATTGCATTGCATAACTGCTGCACAAATTTGTAACAAATAAAAAAAAAATTCTTTTATGATAATAGAGTCTGATTACATTATTTTTAAATGTAGAGGTATTAATCACATACCAGTGCAATCTGGTCCTCCTTCCTGGATATTTTCTTTCTGGTCAGTAGTTGGTGGATAAGATTCTAGAACACAAAATAACTCAATTTTAAGCACTTACAAATGTTTTGGGTGTGCTTCCAATATTTGCTGCAGAGAATAAATGAATAAAAGTCTTATGCCCGGTTTCCGAAAGCCCAATTAATGTTAAAATCAACTAACTAGGTGTCAAATCTCTTGTCAAGTCATCTGATTGATTGACTAAATGTCATGACTTGACAAGGACAAGATTAAATTGATTTTAACATTGATCGGGCTTTCGGAAACCGGGTGTTAATCTTTCTTATGAGTTCTTGCTTAAGCACTTTTTTTCCTAAGCCTTATTTAATAACCTTAATATTGTCAGTTAAGGTGCATGTAAACATAATAATAAAAATATATATATATATATTTAAAAAAAAATACAAGTTATTCTTATTTAGGATTTATCTTAAGTACACTTAAGATCTTCTGTATTACTACTTATTATCTGATTATTTTACTGATTATCTTAAGTACACTTAAGATAAATCCTAACCTAACTTGTATTTTTTTTTATAATTAGATAACATTACGCCTTGTTTTTCCAAAAGGTTAGCTCAAAGTATATATTATATGGTACACCCACATTTATTACAAAGCCTATTTTTTAAACCATGTAACCCGTTTTGCTAATTGCCATTGACCAGGCACAAATCCAGGCTTTGGGCTGACCTAGGAATGAAACTCAACTTGTCATTTTTAGCAGTAGTGTTTCCGACAACTATTCTAAAGAGGCAGTCATAATATATAACTACTTTATAGATGACATAAACAGTGTACTATAATAATATTATAGTAAAAGAGACAAATTATGGTGCTTAATAAAGTTACCTTTTGACTCAGAATGTCTGTACATATATTGTGGAAATTCTGCCAATTGTGCATCAGTTAGAGGTAAAACCTTCAAATTTAATGTTGGTACTGCATTTCTTTTCAGACGATTGCCTTTTTTGTTGAAATCTTTTTTTGCAAAATGTATAGCACAAACATTTCGCTGCTCATGCAGTTTTTCTATTGGTAGATGCACTAATTCTTCATTACCAACTACTCTTAGCCACTCTCGACAGCTGAAAGATACAAAACAAAAAGTTATTTAGTTATAACATTATTATCTATATTAGACTGTGTATTTATTTCATACTGTAATTATTTCATATTTATTTACAAAATGATCACACGGTAGATAATTACAGTTCAGCATTGTTCCTCCAAGGACTAAGTGTAAAACCAGATCACAAAGACAAGAATGTTCATGCATATTTTTATGAACAAGAACATTACAATATTAGATTGAGCTTTACATACATGGATGAGCGAGTCTTCTCTGAACCATGTATTTAATAGTCTACCTACTAAGATTATATTAGATTACAAAATAATAGTGATTTATAGGCACAAATAATCATAAATCTTTATTTTTCTCAACATATGACAGGCACTGTTTAACCACTTTTATGCCGGAACGCAGATCTACACAAGACACAATGGCTTTTTAATTGTGTCTGTAATTATGGCTACGAATGGTTAATTAATGCAAAAGTAGAGAAGTTAAGGTGTTATATAATAAATTGCCAGACAATTTAATTAATATAAAAAGTACAAATCACTTTAAAAAAACTTTAAAGCTTATGTATAATCTAATAACTAGATATATGTGTAATTCTTTTGGAACCGTGAAATGTATGTTTCTTCTCGTTTTTTCCCTTCTTTATATATATGTAATCGACTCACAGAGTCATGATGTATAACTGCATGATTTATTTATAAACTCATATGTGCTCGCTGAACTATTTGTGCTCATTTTATGAGAATAAATATCTTTAAACCGATATTATGGCCATTATAGGCACTGTTTAATGCGGCATAAATGCAAAAGTAGAGAAATTAAGGTTATCCTTAATTTGATGTGTCTAAATTACACGTCTAAATTTTGGTCAGTGGGTTGTCTTTGGGGTGTATTTGATTGGTTTTTTATTATCCTTAAGTTTATCTCTAGATTTACCTACGGCCGAAGGGCCGTAATGAACGATCAATTGAATGATATAGCATCATAACATTTACATTAGCAATATGTAAATACTTGCCGGTTTGGATCCAGTGGAAACTTCGAAAAAAGCAACTTGTTTCCAGTATGCCAGGCCTCCTTAATACCGCAAACTTCACATCTTCTGTGACCTTTACCCATGGTGATTCACACAAATTAAGATTAAACAATAATAACAAAAATAGAAGAGTCAAATATCTCACGAGGGTCAATTACACTAACAGAGTCAATATCTCGATAAAACTATGAAAGGATGAAACGGAGAAGCAGGTGCTCGACTCAACGTTATCCACAATCACAGAAATTCTTCTGATAAGTTATATTCCAAAATCTTAGAGAAAAAGGAAAAAACCAACAGAATAAATCACAACACAAACATAGTTACTCGGGAGCAGCCATATTGTGTTGACCACAGATTACATTTATCCACTTTCGCTATGAAAGTTCGTGCTGTAATGTTGGCCACCCTAACTTTTCTGAATGTTGGCTAAAGAACGTAACTAATTCCATACAAAAATAATTTTGTTCGAAGTTACACAGGACTGGCCGAGTTTGTTTATTTTACGAATTTAATTTCTTTCGAAAATAAAGTAAATAGGCTATATTATGTCTTCGCCGGTGAGTACAAAATTGTTATTGATAATAAGAAAAGTTTGTAATTATTTTTGCGTGATTAGAAAGCATACTAAATTGTTTTTGTTCATGTATGGGCAGACAGAAGAAAGCGTACGGCGCAACAGCGAAAGCGAAGGAGGTGAAGCTGAGACGCCAGAACATGATCCTCACTTTGATCCAATCGTGTCGTTACCTCTTGTCGACGTCCACACGAATGAAGAGGAAGAGGAGGAACTCGTGAAGATCCGCGCCAGGCTCTACAGATATGACACTGGAGACCATGAGTGGAAGGTAAGACAATGGATAACAATTGAATTAAGTTTTTTTTCATCCTTTACACCATAGGGTTTCTATTTCTACAGCTTATATCCTCTCGAGGCAAGGCACAGGGAGTTGATAAAATGTAAGCATTGTGCCTATTGCAGGTTAGGCCTGAGTCATAGACAAATTCAGCCTATTGAATAGATAATGTTATCAGATAATGTCAACAAGAATAGGCCATAAAAGTAATTAATTTTAACAATGAAAAATTACAAAATGCATTATTTCCATGTATTAAAATTTTAATTGATAAATGTTGATTATAGGAAAGGGGCACAGGTGACATCAAGTTGCTTCGTCACAAAGTGAACAACACAGTCCGAGTGGTGATGAGACGTGACAAGACTCTAAAAGTGTGTGCAAATCACTTCATCACACCAGATATCAGGATGAATGTTCACTGCGGTTCTGATAAGGCCTTCAACTGGTCAGTTTTTGCGGATTTTGCTGACGAAACCATGAAACAGGAACTATTGGCTATCAAATTTGGAAATGCCCAAAGTAAGTTTTCATAAAGGGAAAGAAATTAAAGTTTCTAAATGATGTTGTTGATTAGTTTTTAGTATGTACTTGTTTTTTAATGTTGTTTTAATGGGAGTGATAATTACAATTTTATAGCGTGTTTTAAAATGGTGGAAAAAAAGAGTTGCTTAAGCAAACAAAAGAATTTTCGATATGCTTGAGACCAGGCTGATAATATAAGACAGATATATGATCACATTGCACATAAACTCAAAAAAATCGAAATATATTTCATAAAAAACTCTTATATTTACAGATGCCGAACTTTGGAAAACAAAATTTGCAGAGGCTCAGGAGATTGTGAGGACAAAATGCAGTATTTACACACAGGACCTGTCTTCAGATGACGAGAGCAGCATCACAAGAAGTGAGGACACTGATTCTCCAGAGCCCAAGCCTAAGGCTTTGGAAAAAGATGCCAAAAATGACAAAGAAGAAGCCGAGCCTGAGGGTGTAGTCTTAAAATTGAAGGAACTGAAAGTGGAAGGTGCGGAATAAATTTCATTTTAATTTTAATGTAATAAGAGGCCAATATGTAGTTTGATGTTGTAAGACAACTACAAAATGACTTGTTTATGATGCATGATACTCTCTGAAAAGGTCTTAGTCTATTGGAACTCCATGGTAGAGACATAGGTTGGAGCGCAAAATGAAGTCAGACACCATGTCTTTATTTATTGTCTCAAAGCGGCAGATAAGAGGATATCTAACCAAACTGTCACTAGTAGCTCCATACAATACGCAATTGCGTGTTTTGGCCGTTCTCTAATTTTGAAAGCAAACCATCAGATTGCTCAGTGATGGTACAATGTCGGTTTTTGGTAAGGTCCGAAATGCTTGCCACTGGCTCTAAATCTCATTTCACCAGCACTAATTAGTTTCCTATCATCTAAACTCATACAATTCAGATAAAATGACACATCAAGTTATTTCACCAAAATCCTCTGCTAAGAGTACCCCAAATGTCACTTGATGTCTAGCAAACATTTAAGTAGACTGCAAAATATCTATTATAGTATTTACTTGCATTTTTAGTACTTTTAATGAGTACAATCATTTTCCAGTCATTCTGTGTATTTTAACTGTAATGATGCATTTACAATAAATCTATATTTTTTTCTATTAATGGCTAGTGATAATATTGTATGTTTGATTTATTATTTCAATATTAGATTGGACTAATACTTACATGTTACTGGCAACTTCACACATTCGAATATTATTTACTAGTGTAATGTAAATATTTTCAGTTAAATTTTTACTGTTGGCAATACATTAAAACGATGTTTTAGCTTGAAAAAATATTCGATTCAGGATTTGAAATTCAATGGAAGCTCGAATATAATAATATGATAATAATAATTAATGTTAGTATCTATATTATGTAAGGTTGCATTTCAAATGGAGCTTTATTTGACCGATCTATGTAACTCTAAGTTGTTCTTTTGACTATTTTCGTTACAATAATGAGACACTGTAGTTTTTACAGTATCATTAATTTTCTTTTGTATAATTAAATATTGCTCCACTTGAGATTTTTAATAGTTTTTACATGTTTTCATGATCATTACATATCAATTTTACTATTGTAATTTTGTTTGTGTCGAGGGTACAGTTCTTCATTTCTCTTATACCACTTATATTATTATGTTGATTCAAATAGCTAACCCTGTCTTAGATTCGCATTACAAGTAGTGTGACGGGGTAAGCTGTGCTTGTTATTAGATGACAGCATATTTTCAGTCGCGTGTAATAAATAAATAAATTTATATGTAGTAAGGAATTGATATGCTTTAAATGTATAAGTAGATAGTCAATGAAAATTTGCGGTGTATGGAAGTAGGCGTACTTCTAATTAACACTGTAGCAAGCATTTGTTATAAATACTTCTATGTTTCCCTTTCAGGGAACGGTGAAATGTTATGAGGCTAGCCAGTTCTACCTAGCGCCTCGGTGGTAACTTTCAAAGAATGAAAATCACCTCAAAAGCCTACTAATTAAAGTCGTTTTTAACGAAATGTGCCCAATATTTTTCTATACTCTTGACACGTTAATAACATTCATCCATTATACTTTTACTTTGTAATAGGTACCTAATTATATTTTTACATGTATGTACTGTTGCCGTTTTGTCGATAGTTTTTGCGTTTTACATCCAATTGTTACATTCCAATTTGATATTGTTTGTAATAAAAATATATAGGTAAGAATCGCGGAAACTATGTGACGAAATCGGCTCGAATGTATATTATAATTTAATATATATTTCAAAATCTGAATAGACGGATTTTATGAATGCTTTGTTTTTATTTTAAACGTGGCCTCCTTTTACTGCCCCCATAATATTATGCCGTTCGCTATTTTTTTATGCAGGTCGATATTGACTTTAAGACTGGAGTGACACCATCGGGTCACAGTATACTTTCGAAAAAACAGCGCTTCAGTTGTGTTCTTGTGTGTCGCCGTAGGAGACCGGAAACCCAGACCATATATCCGCTTACTAATCTTAAAGTTGTTGAGAATTTGGGTTACTTACCAGGTTTTAAAATTTCAATAAAGTTACTAGATATTCTGCTAGGCTAATCGCAAGTCATAACTCAAGGTAGACCACAAGGTATAAAACAATAAAAGTCATGTAAAGTCTTAAAATAATTTATTGCAAACACACCCATAGTCGTGCATCTTAAATATTACCATTAATTATAATACAGAGCATAATAATAGTTCAATAAAATATACCGATATGCTCATAATTTGGGAACCATGTATATCATACTGTGATATCATATAACATTCAACTTTGTACAAATGCAAAGCTTTTAAAATTTATTGAAAGTAACGAATTATTCACGTGAATGAATTGAGAAAAGCTGTCCTAGTTTCGAATTACAACGGGACTCTTACTCATGAACAGCTTGCTCGTCGCGGACGATCCGACTTATTTTCAATAAATTGAGTAACGTAGGTATGTCTCACGATATCCCAAAAAAGCTTTATATTAAAATATCTGCTACCACAAAATAAAATTAGACTACCTACATACCTGCTAATTAATATAAATGCAAATGTATGTAAGTCTGTCTGTCATATAAACTGCTAAACAGCTCATTTTTACCATGTATTGAGGATTACAAATATGTGAACTGCCTAGTAACAGTACACTATTCAGAGCTGGCTATGTTGCAAAATACTTCCTGTGTAAGATATTTTTTATATTTGAAAAAAATATACATAGAAATAGGGTTATAAGTACTTACATTTGTATTACACTAACATACAATACATCATGCTATCGAACTGGTACAATGATCTCAAACCAACCATAAAATTAATTACGGTATGCGGCTCCAATTATTTACAAATAATACTAACTGACCTAAAAATTACATTTAGAATGGAATTGGAATGTTTGAACAATATAAAATAATACTTTGGTTTGCCAACTAAAATTAAACTTAAATGCGAAAGAAGGATGGTTCGATAACTGTAGTATTATCTTCTAAATTATTGGGAAGGCAGTGTATCACTAGCAGCAGCCATTTAAAAAAAAGAAAATATAGTTAGAAAAAATATTATTATTAAGTAATATTTCATATAGAATTTTGAATCCTATCACACATAGATAAAAATAATTTCTATTTATCTGTAATGGTAAAATTCTACTAGAAAAATTTCACAACATCTATTCAATGCTTTTCAGTATTTATCCAACCCTATGTCAATAGAAAAATATGTGTATTTTTAACAGCGCACATGGCAATCACATGATTTCCATACTGTTTGACTGTCACTGTTGACTGGGTCAATTTATTTTAGTAGCGGTCAAAAAAGTAATTAATAATCAAAAAAGAAACTACAAGTCTCTATTCATGAGAAGAAAAATAATGTGCTATAATTATGCAAAATGATGACTAATTTTAAATTTAAAACACAATATGAAGAATAGCTTTTAAAAATTTAAAGTAAATATTTTTTTAACATAACATGCATATAACTATGTTTGATGTGCAATTCTTTGGATATGTTTAATGTTTTATTGGTCACATATAGAACTTTAATAGATAACAGATTATTTTACTACTTCATAAAATAAATGCATACCATTGAGTATACACATTGTTAACATGATATGAACATGTAATTTTTTTTAAACAAAAATAGAATTTTTTTTCATGAACCAAGCACTAACCAATTCTCAATTCAATATTGTTGGCTATACAGCATGGAGGAATTAAATATTCTTTTTTATAGTTTAAGCTGTACAGCCAGTATCAAGAAGCGTCAACAGATTATATGTAGAGCTGATGAACTTTAACTTTGTGGAAGTAGCCAATAAAATTTTCTTATAACTTGTGATAAACATGATAATTATGTAAATAAATGTCACATTAAATAAAATTTCAATCTATAGTAACAATATCTGTATCTACTTTTATACAGTTGTTAATACTTGGGATTTTTGTTATGTTATCCAATTGCGTTATTCACATAGAGATCAGATTTTCTTGTAAGTTACACACAGTCAGGTAAAACACAATACAGATACAAAAAAATCATAAGCAGACATAAGATTTATAGAGGAATCAGACTTAGGAGTAAGTTTTGAAAAACAAATCAGAAAAAATACTTCCTTCATTGGAGTACAACTACACAAGTATGCTGTGAATGAGTGCCAATGAAATTAACTGACCAATTACAGGTCTTCTTTCTGTGTTTTCTGTTGTTTGTCAGATAATTGGAATGTTTGCAGAATATTGATTCTAATGCCCAATTCTTTCTTCTTCTCTTCTGACACTTTACTACTGAGCAACTTCTTGACTCTCTCATGTTCGGCCGATATGAAATCGTCACCTTTTTCTAGAATCTTCTCCATGATTGTCCTGTAGATTTTTCCAGAAGCAGGTTCCTAAAATACAAAACATTAAATTGAGTTTTGGAGCAACAGATCTAGGGATATTGTTCGTTATTTATAATAACGACGGGTTACATTAACTCCGGCGTTGCGAGACATAATACGTTAAATGTAAAATAAAAGTATATATACCTTGTCTGAGCTCTTCAAGAATTCTTCAACCTTCTTTAATACTTTTTTCCTTTCATCTTTCTTGCCTTTCATAAACTGTATTGCGAACTTATCGAGTTCCTTGACGCAGCCAGGTAAACTCAAATATATGCCGGTGTTCTCCCGAACGAATCGGCGAAGTTCATCACTGGTGAACCCTTTAGATTCATCGAATGGTATGGGCTCAGATTTACCTTTGACGAACAGTTTAACCACAGGGAAGTTGTCCTTGGTCGCTCCATACTTCTTTGCAAGAGCCTCATTTTCTTTTTCACCATAATCTTTCACACCGACTTCGGCAATCAAAAGATCTTCCACATCTTTCGCCTCCCTTGCCAATGATACGAACGCTTCGTGTTTATCGCCGTATGGGAACGCAACATCGAATTTAATTAGGCTGGCGTCAAATTTATTTCTTATTTTATCAAAAGAATATTCATCTAACTCGACAGACCCGGTTGTGGTTGAAGCTTGATAGGCAAAAGGTATAACTAAAACAATAGTATACAGCAATAAATAACGCTGCATTGTTAGTTATTGAACAGCACTACAGTCTCGAATGTTCTGTCTTTCAACACTAAACGTATTTTATGAAATAAAAGCTGATTTAGTACACCGCCAAATATTTTATCGTTCGCTACGCTACTGTTTAGTATTATTGACACATTCCATTCCAGTTTGTTTCCCTTTTCAATTTACATATACAACAGATATGTAAAGAACGTTCACATCAATCCGGCGTACGCTGTTTCACGGCTGTTTCGAACATATTTTTTTTAATGAATGAAGTGAATAATCAATTTCCATACCAATAATATAATAAATATCCAACCATAAATCTTTCTGAATTATTTATGTTGTTTCTGTGGTTTATTCATAAAAAAGTCCTTTATTAATATTCAATTCTGCATTGAACGGACCGGGCATATCAATTAGTCTTTTGACAGCTGACCGTGTACGATCGTGATTGGTGTATATATCATGCCTGTTTTATACAGTTAGTTTTCTATTACATTTTGAAATGAAATTGTTTATTTATTATCAATAGATCTTTTATTTATCCACAAAGTACTTTGTATATATCTATGTATTCCTTTGAAGATATTACTAAGAAGTGATCGCGATTTTTACAAATAAATAAAACGCGAGTTTAATAATTCCATGAACATTGAATTCTTGCATATTGCAAAGTTCTTCGGAACCGATAAGAAATCTGTGATATTGATGTTGCAGTGTAAATATCACTTCGACGATTCATTTTATTCTTACACACTCTATTTAAAAGAATAATATTTTCAATTCTCATAACTCCTTTATTGAACTACTTTATGAAAACAATAAACGTGAAAGGTTATTCGATTTCGTAATCAGGGAAAAACAATGAAAAATTACGGCATTTTTATAGATTACGAGTACCTAGCTATTTTCTTAGATTCATTCTTAGTTAGAATAAATAAGAGTAATGAATTTATTTTTTTGTTTTTATTTTGTAATTATTTCAATATACCATATTGTGGTGTCGCAGGAAACCAATTTATTGGATTCGGGGATAATAGAAGATAAGGTGGTCTTTTTCCCTAGCCAGGAGGCGCAGTATGATATTCTGCAGCAAGAATATGAAAATGGGCTATATACGAATGACTATACTCCGCTGAACGATGAAAATATGGAAATCGGTGCACTAAACGATAGTTCGTTTCTATTTGATGTATTTATAAGTATTTTAATTTCTATATCCAATAGAAATAAACAAGTGGCAGGCAGGTAGTATTAAATAATTAAAACCTAATTAATAGATCTCTATTTATAAAGTAGGTATTTTAATTCATAGGTAAGCCTCGAAAGCCGTGATGCTGAAAGTTAAAACTCCAAATATTGAATAACCCACTCATGTTGGTACTTTTATTATTTCCAGTAATAAATCTTCATAATGAATCATCGATTGAATTACAACCGGCCATTTTTAAATGGGCGAATGGCATCGTTTCGTATTACGTAGATCCGCGAAGCTATGGTGAGACAACTCTCCTAAAAATATAAGATAATATATCTCTTTATAAACATCAACACACAATCATCAGATTTATGAAACCCCAAGAAATTGTTTCAAAATGTAAACGAAGTTTCAAACGGACAGATAAAAAAAATACTTAATTGTTAATAAAATTGTTGCCAGATAATAAAATAATGAAGCGCATAAGAACAGCAATGAACATGATAGAGAGGGTTTCTTGCGTGGTTTTTAAGCCCATGGCAGTAAAGGCTCCAGAATTTAGTAGTTACATGTGGCTAAGTATTGAGAATCCTACAAGAATTAGGCGATGCATACATAGAGTATTGCACGACAAGAGCGGGAAAGCGGTAAGATATTGTTTTTTCATTTACAGTACCACTATAAAAAGTGGACAATCTGATGGAAGGTAAACTTTATTCGAAAACGAATCCTAGATTCACACGATGCACAAGTTCTGCTAAAGTCGCAGCGCCGACTAAATCTCAAAAAGTATTCTATTTTGTATCATTAGTAAATGACGCGTAAATCGTAATGTAAAAAAACGCCCCCAAAACAAGGCATTTGGGGTATATACCTACTTTAGATTTTTGTTCTTGCATCCAGACTATGATCATCGGTTACGAGTGTATGCAACAACGTGACATTCTGCATTCGTTAATGCATGTGCTTGGGTTCCACGACGAGGTCACCCATCCACACCGAGATAACTACGTCAGAATCGTCTGGCCCAACATACAACCACGTGAGCAAATCAAATGCAATCATTGCATTGTAAAAAGTGATTGAAAAAGAGTAACCATGGAGTTTCTTGCTCGTTCTTCTCCATAGGAATCTACACTTTGGAACGAGCAAATAGCTTCACTAGAGGACAGACGGACAGACTGACACATAAAGTTAAACCTTATGATATATTTTTTGCTTGACGTTCAAAAGTGCCTTTTTTGGTCTATTTGAAATAAAGAATTTGATTTGATTTATTTCAAGTAGACCATAACAGGCACATTTGAACGTCAAGCAAAAAATATATTAAAAGGTTTAACTTTATGCGTGTCAGTCTGTCGGTCTATCTTCTAGTGAAGTTATTTGCTCGTTCCAAAGTTTAGATTCCTATACAAAAGAACAAGCAGGAACCTACTGTTCCTTAATCAGTTTCACAATTTCATTTCTTTGTAACATCATTTAGTCAGTACTTACTTTCTTTTTCTTTTCTTTTCTTTTTTTAAAAAAACGTTGCTACGCACTAGGGTTTTCTCCTGTGTCGTAGGTGCCTTTACTATCATACAATTTCACACACACATCTCACCCAGACCCAATAATTTGTAGATTACACAAAGAGTTGTTCCGTGCGGGAATCGCACCCGCGACACGTTGTGCGGCAGTCAGTTGCCTAACCACCGCGCCAATCGTGCTGTCAAAACGTTTAGTTCTTTCCAATAAAGGAAATTAACCTCAAGGATAGCAACTTTAGACAGTCCCGAGTTGACCAGTCCCAATAGGCGGCGTTTGTTCACGAACATGACACGTACACCAGCACCACGCAACTTAACCATATTATAGGGAATCGAGCAAAACTGAGCAGCTAATGTGATATTCGCTTTAACACATTTTTGACGTTCGGCGCTGTGATTGGCCTGTTCGGAGGATACAACCAATCAGAGGGTTAAATGCGGTAACGTTTCCATCACGTCAACGTGAAAATAACTTGCACTACGCTTTCAGAGTCTCATATCTTAGTTTTAAAACGCAACGTTCCGCCGTATCTTTAATTAACTTTATTTAAGGGTTTTTTTTAACGTGTAGCGATGTTAAATTTATTGCCCCACTCTTCCCAAGTGAGTTGTAAGAGATGATTGCGAGAACTTTTAAAGGAGACCGATCAGTTGCGCTGCTTGATAAACCTCAACTTTCTATACATTCGCCCACCAAGCTTCTTTTTTTTTCATGGATTATTAGGTACTTAGTTCGGCGAACGAGCAGACGGATTACCTGGTGGTGACCAATCAGCTCCGCCTGTGTAAACCAGGAACATCGAGGTTCAAGAGGAGCGTTGGTGGCCTTTTGACGTTTAGGTATTTAAGGGAAGGGTGGGGCATGATCTTACTAAAGATTAGAACTGTTGAACTAATCAGATAATTAAAATAATTCTTCAGAATACCGGTCTCTGTTCTCGAAGGGGTTTCACTCCAGATCGAACGATTTGGTAGAATACGATACCACGAGCATCATGCATTTCCATGATCGTGCCTACACCAACAATGGGGCACCTACCATAGTACCTTTGGTAAGTCACCAATGAAATAGTCTTTATGTTGTGTCGATAAATACATAAATAAAATGTATTTGCTTTGCGGGCACAAGTACAATGTCCTATCGCAGTTCAACTCGGAGAAGAGTCAGTAGATCTGCCGCTTTATTCCCGACACAGTCAACAATTATTTTATAAAGGGTAGAATATCTCTCTGGTCTCACCCAGGGTGGAAAAAGGAATTGTATAATTTGCTTCACTCAAAAAAAGGCATCAGGCAGTAGTTTTCTGTGTAGAGGAGGCTATAGTCTCGTATTGTCTGATGAAGTATAATTGTGGCTGGTGAAATAGTATATAAATGGCCCCAGTCCCTCATAGGAATTTCTTCCGAGTCTTGGCTTTATTACAAACATCTCTATAGTTTCACCTGTTGCTCACCTACTATTGGTCGTAGTGTGATGTTTTGTGGGATAAAACCTTCTCCGATATTACATCCAACATACAAATAATTATAGAATTCGAACCAGCAGCTCCGGAAATTAGCGCGTTAAACCACAGGTTAAAACAAACAATCAATCAGCTTGTTTGTTTCATTGATTGTTATAATACTATAAAGCTTATAGTATTGACAGTATAAATGAAGAGGGGCAAGAAAGTTCTTAATTAATGTAGTATTCAGAATTTGTATTAGCTTTTCTCGATCACAGCGTCCTCTACTAGATAGTTGGGTTGACTACAGTTACTATACCACGAACAACTCAAATACTCAAAATTTTAATTTTATCTCAGGTATCTGGCTTGAAAATCCGGGAATTGGAATCGTCTTTGCTTTCTCAGTTAGACGTCATGAAGCTTAAACTAGCTTTCGGTAACGATTGCAATAAGCGTAACGTGAGGAAACTGTATGAAACCTGTCACGCTGCTATAGGAGAAGATAAGGAAGATAACAATAATGCAAATTATCAAGACTCTAAGGACTTTGAAGATAACCAATACACTACCGATCATAGAGCTATTCCAGAGGTTTCAGATGGTCAAGGCGTTGAAGAGCTTTCAGATGGTAAAGAAAGCTTTGAAGACCTCGAGTTTCGAGACAATATCCGTTCTCAGAACAGGCAAAATGGTACAGTTGGTCAAGGTGGCCACGACAGGGCAGAAAAAGCAGTGAATCCATCTCCCAGTCCGGGAGTTAAGCAGCATTTCGAAACATTAAAAAACACAACTTCGAAAAATGTTCCATTGAAATCGTAACTTGAATATAGTTTTGTTTGTTTATTTATCGTTTCATTTAATAAAAATGGTCCAGAGTGAATCTTATATATAAAAATGGATCGCAAAATGCGTTGTAAGCGCATAACTCAACAACGCCTGGACCAATCTTGCTAATTCTTTTTTTGTTGTGTTTGTAATTGTCAGGAGAAGGTTCTAATCAAAAAAAATATAAGAAAAGTAGAGGGGAAGTTTAGGAAAAAGTGACCCTTTGATAGCGAGATAGTTGGACCCGTGCGAAGCGGAGGTGAGCCGCTAGTCTATCTATAAAAATGGATCGCAAAATGTGTTGGTAAGCGCATAACTCAAAAACGCCTGGACCAATTTTGACAAATCCTTTTGTTTTGTATTTATTATTGTCAGGAGAAGGTTCTTGTGGAAGAAAATATTAGAAAAGTAGAGGGAAAAATTGGGAAAAAGGGATCCTTTCGGTGTTAGCGAGATAGGTTGGACCCGTGGGAAGCGGGGCCACCCCCGCTTCCCACCCGCTAGTTTTAAATAAATCCAAGTGTGGAAAGAAAATGTATTAAAGTTTATTTGATTTGCTGGTTTCTTCACAAATGTCTATGCTATCATTTTGAAATATGTATTAATAAAACCCTTAATAAGTTTTCAGTATCTATTCGTATCTGTGACTGGAACGAAGCTGATCGGTGCTGTCAAGATAAATTAAAGAAAATTGGCAATAACTTGTTTTTTAAATTACTTATTTTTTTTCTTGTTACGTTGATTTTCAGTTTTTAAAGCGTGTTGTCCCCTTTCCATGCATTGTTTGAAGTAGAGAAGATTTAATTTTTGTACGTCTGTTGAGCTCAGACCTTGCCAATGGCCCATAGACCAGCCATCGTTCTGGAAATAGAAATAATGAAGTTATTTAGATACATTGTACTATTATAGGTTCCATAGGATCTACAAAGCCCAAGCAACTCGGATCTACGTCTATACTATTACCATTAACCGGATCTTAGGCTAGAATCGTACCGACATCCGTTAAACTTATGCTAAGTGGTAAAGTCTAAGATCTGATACGGATTGATAGAGCCTTTCCATAATATTTTTTTTTATATTAAGTTGAGCAAAATAATATTACCCATATAGGATACATGATGTTAGTTTTTCCATTCTTGATCTGCAACCAGGGGTAGTGCATTACGCTCTGATAGTCATAGGGGAAGCCCACGGAGGCAGCTGGAGAAAGCTTCGTACTCAACTCTTGTTTCACATCTGCAAACATAGAAGTTACCAATAGTGTCTTAGGGTGCCATAATATTTTATCATAAAGAATCGGCTGGCAAGGCTTTATTCCCTGAATATAAAGAAGAAGAAAACAGAACCGAGGAACTGTTGAAAGAGTATTATAATTACTTTGATATCATCGGTAGATTGACAAAGGAGTTAGTGATAGTGTGACGGGTGACAGGACAGAATGGAAAAATCAGGGGAAAAAAAACATATTGCGCCGACCCCAAATAAAACGGGACAAGGGCAGGAAGATGATGATGGTAGATTGCCAATTTTAGAACAGTAAAATGTTAATGTAAATACCTAATTTAACGATCGATTTCCAATAAATTGCTTAGGAGTTAGCTAAGAATGGAACTACGTATAGAACGTATATAGGTCATTATAGGTATTTATTAGATGAAAGACACATCTCTAGCTATGTCTTAGTTGAAAACACCTTTCAAGATAGAAAATTTAAACGAGAATTCCAAGAATGGTGCATTTGTTTATATGACAACTATTCTTACCATCAGTAAGCTGGTCCCAGACGATATGTAGGTAGGAGTCTCTGTCGTGCATGTTGTGCTGGTGATCCAGACCCAGGATATGCACGAACAAGTGCAGCAGGTCATTCACTGAATTGAAGCAGTCTGCGTTTATGCTAATCACCTGGAATTTTGTATATGTCATTAGCTGAAACTGCTCTGATAGAAAGCTGATCACCTATCTGCTTGCCTAGCATGGAAAGTACTATCATGATAGATGTAAAGGGGTAGCATCAAACCAGTTTGTCATTAGGTACGACAACAACATCCAATCCTTAAATATCCGCAAAAGGCCGGCAACGCACTCGTGACTCCTTTGGTGTTGCAGTTGTCCATGGGCGGCGCCGATTGCTTACCATCAGGTAAATCGTCTGCTCGTTTGCCGACTTATCCCATGAAAAAAAGCTTTCCTGCTCAGGGTCGTGGAGTGGTACTGGATATTATTCTAATTACATATTTTCCTTCTGGTCTGCCTGGATGAGGACATTTGCATCCAGGATAAGCAGATCGGGTGAATTGCACCACGTAAATGATGTGTCTTCTGGAAGGTGACACTGGGATCCCACGCTTCCTTCTCGTATTTGAAATATTCTCTGTTAAATAAGAAGATTAAGCTTATGTTAGTAAGATCGTCATGAAGGTAAATGTGTTTACTTAACTAGGTGGTGTACTAATTTATAGAATCAGGCGTCACTTTGCGGAAATCCATGACATTAAATGTTAGGGAAAATATTTAGTTTTAATTCCGCGATTCCCACTCATATGCATGATTGCATAGGAGTGGGAATCGCTACATCAGATCAGATCTACATCAGATTGCACATGCAACAAGGGTCCCACCCTCCTGCCCACATGCATATGCACACATACACAAAACGGAAAAACATGCCACGCAATCAAACCTATACTCGACACGTGTTTCGCCCCTCCACAGGGCATTCTCAGGAGATGTTGACTCGACGAGCGCTCGGCTGCGAAATTTCGCATTTCGCGAAATCATCCCACTCATATGCATGATTGCATAGGAGTGGGATTGCATCCTGCAACAAGCCTGGATTTTTGTCGCGGAATTAAAACTAAATATTTTCCCTAACATTTAATAGGTGGTGTACGTTCATGCATATCTCCATTGGGGTAGACAGATAATGGACCATCAAACTCGTCTTTTGCACTAATTGACTTTTTATGCATATTTGTTAATTGAGGTATAAGACTAACCATAGATCGAACTGTTGAGGGCAAGTTCTCCGCTAACTAGACCCATTGGCCTCATCGTCAAAATAAAAATAAGTAGTATAGTATAATGTTTTGTAATAATTAATATTTCAATACGCTAAGTCACTTACAAAAGGATAATGTCCGTAAAACTGCGGTGTATGACTAGACTAGTAACATAAAATTCAAGTAACTTTCTTTCATCGCGTGAGTGCATAACATGGTTACATCAGATTGTTCAGTTTCATAACAGTATGCATTTCAGTTCGCTTACATTTCAAACGCTTTCTGAATTGAACGAAGAGTACCGTAATTAATTTTTTAAAGTCTCCTTTGTTTTAATAATGGAGACAAGTCTTTATAGACAAATCAAAAGGATCACTTCGAAAGGAATTACTACTTTGGTGTGAGGAGTTTCCACAGTGTGCCGACTGTGGAAACTCCTTACTGATTGCTCATCAACAGATGATAAGTAAGTACGTTTGCCAAACTATTTAAAAAAAAATAAAAAAGAATGCTTCTTGTTTATGTCGATCATCGATGAAAAATAGAATGCTAGGTAAGTAAGGAAAATTAAAAAGCCATGTTTGAATTATAGGTACGCAACTTTTCGCTCCGTTACAAAAACACCTATTATTCCTAGGTATATTCTTTTATGGATGATTTTTTAAAAATATACAATGTTTCGTTGTAATAATCTCATCAAACCCCGAGCGAACGACGGCGTCCGCGCACCTGTTATCTTACTATTGTATCTCGAAATACCACTATTGAAAGTTTAATTAAGCTTTTGCCCTGTGATTAAAAACATTAAAACATATAAGAGTAAGGTCTCCACTATGTTGTCATAAACGGATTTTTTTACTTGATAAAAAATTACCATAATATTTTTATATCAACAGCTTAGTTTCTCACTACATCAAGTTTCCGACTAAGGTGGGAAGATATTTATTAATGTACCATCCTCCTACAGAATATAATTACCAGCGCCCTAGCATGAAGTGGTATTGAATTTCGTTTGGTTAATGAAAAGTCCTGGTGTTGTGTAGACGATGAGTCAGTCCCCCTAACATGAATTGCAACATCTTCTGTAGTACATACTTGCATTCATAGGTTACGGTCCCCGCTTACCATTAGCTATGTAACTCCCAATAGCTAAAAGGAAATCTAAATATTAGTTTTTTACTTACTCGTTGCATTAGTGTTTTTGCTCATGATTTCCTTAAATTTTGATCCAGTATAAGCTGATTTTACATTCCAATAATCCTTTTTCTGCTCTATCGTGATAACATCTTTTTCTAAATTATTTAGGTGTGGCTTATCTCCGTTCTCTATATCCAGGAAGTTAGTTAGTAGCCGTTTATCATCAATTTTCTCAGTATCCAAATCAGTTGATTCAACTTCTGTTTTGGTGTCGTTTTTCGCAATATCTGTCTCTTCAAATTTATCTTCTTCCTCACTTTTTTTGTGTTCATCACTTTCCATTGGCCTTTTCTCTATTTTCACACTTAGGTCTCTGAACTCTATACATGTTTCTTTTTCTAAATGACGTATTACCGCATTAATATTTTCTAATTCTTCGGATGCTGTTGGTAATTAAGAATCAATATTTGCTATAAATATTTAATTAAAGAACTGTCGAATAAGTACAACTTAGATTAATTCGACTAAGTTTTACCTAATAATGATTAATTGGGTGATAGTAGGTGGGCACAAAAAAAAATTAAGTTAGACCAAGACACTTTTTCGATATCGACTTAAGACAGATTGAAAATGTGACTAGGCACTCGTACCTAAAGCCTTTATGTATATTTAACTGTAAACTTAATCTACAAATAAAAAGATATAAATTATTAAGAAAATGGCGTAGAACACTCACAAAACTCCATTTTGTCTTTAAATTCATAGTTGACGATTCCATAAGGCCAAAGTCTATGTTCGAAGTATGCTTCGATAGATTCCTGTGTTACTGGAGTTGGTTTGCTATTTTGATTCTTTACAACACTTGGACAGGTCTTCAGTAGGTAGTCTCGATTACGTTTGAGGCATTCGTTGCTATAAACCATGTTTACTTTCTCAACGTCCATCTCGCTTAGTCCCTCGCGTTGTCCAATTTTGACGTTGGGCTGGTATGGGAAGAAATCTGTTAGGACTCCTCTCATTGAAAGGAAAAGAAACGGCAATATTATCACTATCACCTTTGTTGGCTTCATTATTTTTTTAAAGAGCAGGTATAAGTCAATCTTCGGATGAACATAAGTGTTAAAACATTGAAGAAGAAATACAAGGAGATAGTAGCGATGTTTTTAACATTACATTACAAAAAAATGAATAAGTACTTCGGCTAAAACAGTGACTTGTCCATTTTTGGAGAATGCTCGCGGGGGGTAGTGAAGAATACTAGCGTAGTCGTAAGGCAGACCGTCCTCTTCCTTTGGAATATTTTGTATTTCAAAATACTTTTTGTAACCTGAAACAAACAAAGCTTTATTTTTGTCGAACGACTTGATAGTGTAAAAAAATAAAGTGAATAAAAAAATAGTAAAAATATTTTCGACTTGCATACTATTAAAAGCAGAAGAACATAGAATATTGGAGAACATTAGCACAGGTATCATTTTTATTTAAGTACATTATGTGCATCGTTCTGTGTTTTTCTACACGTACCTACATATTTTAGTATTGGTGTTGGTTCGAAGGTTTTCTTAGGATTTAAAACCTGGTAAGTTCCACTGTGGCTTTTCCCAAGTTTTATGCATTTAGGCACTGACTGCGTGGAAACCAGGTCGAATTTGAAATTTTAATTTTTAAATCGCTTATCTGGTTTCAGCTTGCGTTGTGATGCTCATTCCTTATGCGTGTGGGGAGAGCACTTACTGCTGCAGTGTGATTCTGTAAGACTTCATTCTAAATTTCGAATCTGAATCCGCCGTGAGTAGTAGTACAGTAGCGCTACACTTGCGAGTGCAACATTTTGATAGATAAAGTATGAGATGACGTTAAAAGTGGCATTCGAGCAAAGGCCTCTTCTCATACGGAGAGGGTTTGAGCGTTAACCACCACGCTTGCTCAAGGCAGATTGGCGATTTCAAACTTATAATTAGAAATTATAAGTCCAGGTTTCCTCACGATGTTTACCTTCACGGTATGTCAGTGGTGTCTTAATAATCGAAGATCGTTTATCTCGGAAAAAGTCACATTGGTACTTGCCAGGCGTCGCACGCACCCTCATGCATGAGAAGCAAGCACCCTTAACTTCCAGGCCACCACGACCTCAATTTAGGTTGTAACCTAGTTATGAAGCGTCTTGAATCTCTGGCACCTTAAACCTTCTGCAGGTCTTACACCTTCTTACCTGGTTTAATATTGTCCCATAGTATTGTGATGTACTGGTCTCGATCAGGTCGTGTATGTTCGTGTGCGAAGCCGAGGACGTGCATGATCTCATGTGCTATGTCACCAAGGCTCATGCAGTCATAGCCAAACACAATCATCTGTTCACAATATAAAAAGATTTTGAACCATTTCTACGATTTCTTTAAAACCAAATACTTCAAAATGATTATGCGTAGGTATGTGAACTGACAGCAATATTTTGTTCTAATATGGATTTGATTTTGTTATTTATAATCTCAGTATAAAAATGCCCCCCCGCCTCTCCATTACTTTTCAATCTTTAAATATCGGATACCCTTATCCCCAATAGGGACACCTCCTTTTATCCCTTATCTCCTAGGGTTGCGGGTGTCCATGGCACGGCATTGCTTACCATCAGGTAATCCGTCTGCCGCCAAAAAAATATCTTTGGCCAATATGTCGATTATTTTGAGTTTAGATATAAAATAATTAGCTACTTAATTCAAGTGATCCATCCTCAAAAACTCTCCCATTTTTAGTGTAAAAGTTATAATATTCGACTGCATAGTTATAGACAGCTTTTTTTCTAGCGACCGGTCCGTTTGTTAGTGCTTGTGGGATTGTAGGCGTTGAAAATCGTAAATATTTTTCTATAAAAGCAATACCAAAGGAAAATATTTCGTACCTGTACTCCTTTAATCTCAGCCTTTTCATTGCTATGCACACACTGCCTTATTCCAGATGGATTGGTTATATACAGCCATACAACTTCCTGCAGCGATCGCTGGTCTGTGGGTCTGTCTCGAAGGCGTTGCAATCGAATACAGGTCGCTCTCTCGAAGTAATCGAATGCTTTCATTATTTTTTCAGATAGCTGAACGTCTGGAACCACATGTTGAGTTGTTTTTGGCTGTTTGTAATTTATCAAAGTATACAAGATGGAAAATAAAGTGTTTTTTTTAGTTTGAGGCTAATTTTATGCCATGTGTGTTTCTGCTAGTAGGTAGCTAGAAAACTAAGCAAAGAAAACGGAAAAGAAAGAAGTTATCCTTTTTGTTTTAGTAAGGGTTAGAATATGTTTTGGCCATACATATTGTTCTAGATTAAAAAAAAAATAAGCAACTTATTGTGGCATGATGTAAAAATAAATACTATCAACTTTTTACATTTGTGTGAACCTACTTTGTATTTATTGACAGTTATTTAGGTTTATTTTTATGTAAATATCGTACGCTAAATTAGTAAGTATTAATGGATGTTTGTGGCTCTTTCACGTAAAAACTACTGAATGTGTTTGAACGAAATTTGGCATAAAGAAATAGTCCGTAGACTGCTTCGTAGTCTGGTTCTGTGGATAAAACCATAATCACTAATTTGTAAGTAAGGGTTTATTAATTGTTCTTCCCGCAATTTACTACTAACACTATTTGCTTTTGAAAAAAGAAAGAAGAGTTTGCGTAAATATTACGGGTGAAATAAAGAAAAGAAGAAGACATAGCTATAAGTTACTCGAGATAAGACCAGAAAGAGAAAGATTTGCGATAAGTTCTGCACAGTAAAGTAAGTCACTCAATATTTCGCATTTATACTATACCATAAGTTTTAGAATCAATGTAGTAAGGAATGATGCCGTGGCGGAATCGAGGTACTTTATTATTATCATCAAAAGTTACATTCTTTTTAGGTTTCCGAGTAGTTGGTCCCTCCAATGTGAGAGGTGCAAAAGGAAACCTCCTACCAGTTTTATTGATTGCTTCCTGAAAATTAAGAATTAATTTTAGTTTTCTGGAATATTCTCCGACGATGAGATGGTCAGTTTGATAAGTGTAAACCTGGTATGGTTCACAATGTTGATAAGTTTCTGTTAACTTATCTGGCATATATTTGCAAAATTGTTAATGTCAATTGGACTAACATAAAAAGTCAGTTGAAAAACAGATTCTTGATCTATTATTCTTAACTCACCACACTGATATTCTTTTCTTCAATTATTGGCAGTACTTTGCGCTTATACGCTATCTTGTGTCCTTTTTCAAGTAAATCGTCATATATTTTATCAACAATCTTTTCCACTCTTTCTTCATCTTTTAATTTAAGGGCTGGGTTTATTGATTTTGTGTCTCTCTTTCTTCTGTTACCAATCATGTTCTGTTCTTGTACTTCATCTTCTATTAGTAGTTCATTTTGGTCGAAATTGGTGATTGGTAGTTCTTCATCTAGCACCATGGACTTCACAGGTTCAGAATTGAAGATCCTACACATCTCGCGCGTGTCCTCACGCTTTTTTTCTATTAGCTTTTGGTCAACTGAAATTTTGTATTTAATTATTGTTTTTGAGGGTTGAATTTCTATTAGTAAAGGTGTACGATTTAGATATTGCGTGTAATGGGGAAGATAATTGAAGGTTACTCGTATGAAGTCGTGTGCTTCACTCTTGTCAGAAAAAATGTTTTTCGTTCGTACGTATTTCTGAGGTGTAGGACTGTTTTGTAACATTGAGCATATTATCCTATAAAACCCGAAATATTTTTTATAAGTATGAAAAACTTACCTCTCCGAACAAATAATTCATCAGGACCTGTGTTAATTGAACATTTTATAATTAAAAATTTTATACTAAAGAAAATGTATAGTCCCAGCAACATCGCTGTAACAATAACTTTATTAAATTTCTTCAACCGTAAAAATAATATGAACATTGAAAAGCGATAACATTTTTATAACTCCATCGTGTTTATAGATCTTGTTCAATTTTTTGTAAGTAATTGTATTTTGTGTGAAATGGCCATGTTCGACCACGGAGTGGTGTGAAACCACGCTTGCGTTTTATTTTCTTTATGTGATTGAACGGCAAACATGCTGACGGATTACCTGATGGTAAGCAATCAGCGCCGCCCATGGACACCTGCAACAACATAGGAGTTACGACCGCGATTGCGCTTCCAACCTTTTAGTTGGTTGGTTTGGTTTGGTGGATTAGGGATTTGGAGATTTACTTACCATTATAGATATATAAATTTATAGGTTATTTTTTAAAGCCACTTTAGATTTCCCTGTCTTCTTTTATTCTTTGTATATAAATTTAATTTTATACTTTTTACATGTATTTTATATCATTTTATATTTATAAGAGCACTACAGTACCTATAGAGTAGGTATATTTGCAGACCTTCACTTACCCTTCCCCACTTACACCCCCATAACTGCTGAACAGCTCAACCGGTTTTTATCAAACATGTCTAAGAACATTCGACACGTAAGTCAACTTTAATACAAAAAAAAAACGAAATTGAAATCGCTTCATCCGTTCAGGCTCCAGGATGCCACGTCAAACTTATAACACCCATCTTTTTTCGTCTGGGGTTAAAAATATGAATTTCAAAATGTGTTGGTCAGCGCATAACTCAATAACGTGTGGATCAAATTCGCCAATTATTTTTTTGCTCTTTGTTATAGTCAGGAGAATGTTCTTGTAAGAGAAAAATTTTGAAAATTTGTGTGGAACCTCGGTAATTCCTTCATCGTTCATCGTTAGCGAGGTTTTAGGACATCCATAGGAAGCAGTAACAGACCGCTGGAAAGGGAATAAAATATGGGCAAAATGAATTACTTATATTTTTGTTAATTATTTATTTGTTTATATTTTATAGGCCATAAAATATCCAATAGTGTAGCATCCACTCACAAGCTTCAAGGTCGAGAGTACATTGCAATAAATTAAAAGGTGCAGGACCTTTGCACCGCGACCTCTATTGTTAAAAGGCAACAATAAGACCCTTTTCTCACTGGCTGAATACGACATGCGATAGTGACGTATAAACTCCGCTGTTCGCCGGTGAAGCACTCACCTGTCCGTTCGATTCGCAAATTCGAATTTAGAAAGTTAACTTTTTATTCCGGCACAAGTTTAACGAGGTTGGAGGTGTGGAGTCGAGTGGCCAGTTGTAGTTTGTGTGTCAGTGTGAGAGCACGTGTACGAACCGTGCCCGCGAAGTGAACGAACTTTTATATGTTACCGTTGTTTTTGTTATCATTACTAGAAAAAGGATTTTGTAAAGTAAGTCTATCATTTTTTTCACACATTCCTGTCACATTCATGTTTATTTTATCATTACGCAATTTGATAACGTGGACTCCATGTTAGAGCCGGCGTCGACGATTTTATTGTTGACATAGCAGAATTTATGTGATGCCAAGTGTAACAAGTGGTGTGATAAAATACTTGGATTTGAATAATTGCAGTATCTGTGGGAAATTAATAGAGGGGCAATGACGAGGTCGATTTTAATTGAGTCCCTGAACTGTAATTACGTACCTTTACATCTTCGTCGATTTGTCATTTGCAATCCCGCCAAAAAAGTGCAAACGATTCTAGGTCTTGTTCTTTAGAGATAGGAACCAATTTCGGTTTGTGTGAAATGTAGAACATCACCTGAGGTTGTTGGTTTTTTTTTATGAATACTTGTAGTAGTCATCTTCAATCTGGTGTTACTATGTTTTACTACCATTCAATATTAAATGTTATGAACTTTCACTAAGGCCTATTCACACGTGGCCAGGTGGCCAGTACCAAGTTAGTGAAGGGCTGGTAAACGAATGGTGATTAAAAAAACATTTTATGTAAACAACGTTCTAGATTTGAAATTTAGAAATGGATGAATATTTATATTTGTGTTCTAGTTGTAAAGTTCTATTTTTAAATTATTTACAACAGTATTTATTACTAATAAGAGTCCCGTTCTAACTTACTTTCTCAATTTTAATTTATGTTTTATTTTAAAAAGCTTCTTGAAACTGGTTCAGTTAATTCACGCGAGAAAGTGGTTATATATATTTTTAATAAATATGTAGATATCATTATGATGATATTCGGATAATTGTCGGATATTCGCATGTAAATTAAGATCTAGGTACATTTAATGTGTAAAACACCGACGTGAAACAACCACAGCGTTGTGTTTCGTCGTGTGAGTGAGGTTACCGGAGGCCCAATCACGTCCCTCCCCCATCCCTTCCCAATCCTTAAATAACTGAAACCCTTATGCCTAAAAGGCCGGCAACGCACTCGTAACTACTTTGGTGTCCATGGGCGGCGCTGATTGCTTACCATCAGGTAATCCGTCTGCTCGTTTGCCGATCTATAACATAAAAAAAATGTAGATCTGAATTGGTATCGAAACATTGTATAAACAAAGTCGCTTTCTCTATTATATCCCTATGTTTGTTTAAGACCAGATTTTTCAATGATTAGAGAAAAGTTACCCAGGGAATAATTATTATCCTGTCGCGTCAGATTGTTTTTTAAGGAAGTGACAGCAACAATTTTATTCCTCAGATTACATTTATGTGACTATTGAAAAATCAGACCTACATCTTTGAAACTATGCAACGGTTTTTTTTATAGTAGATAGAGAACTTAATTGAAGGGGATGGTTTATATGTATAATAACATCCATTAAATAGTGGACGAATTTAGTATTTATTTTGCACCCGTGCAAAGCCAGAAGAGGATCACTACTAGCAAATAAATGTTATGTTTTATACATAATATTGAAAGGTGTGTAAATAGGTTGCTATATACGATAGAGTACATACGATTACAGCAATTATGTATGTATGTATGCGTGTTAATTATGCAATTACATGCTACTTTTAGCGATTGACTGTAACTAATGGGAATAAATTATATTTTTTCACAAGCTAATGTAACACTGATGCGTACAGCGTAAGGCGGAAGTTTGTTAATCAAATACTTTCCTAATAATTAATTAATTAAGTACCTACCTACGCAAAACTATGATTTTTTTAAACGATATAGGTACCTTCATCCGATTTACATAAGGTGCAAATTGGTGTATATATATAGTATTTTGATATACATATTAATAAATTTAAGCGTCTTTTGAGAATGGACCTTTCTGCTGGTTAGGGTTTGGATATTACCTGTTTTATTTTAATATGGACCCTTAGTATAGGTATCATCATCATGACCCATGAGGGGCGAGCCCAGCGCTCTAACTGGCTACCGTCGTTAGGGACCTTTACCCCGTAAAGGGTCATGGACCGCACGATCCTCGAATACAACCTCTACCTATAACTCCCCTAGTATTGCAGCTAAAGGCGGCGCCGATCGGTGGCAGTTTATTTGATAATAAACTAAAAGTAAGTAGTTTAAAGTGTTTGTAAATCAGTTTCACATACATACTATATATATTCTTTAGTTCATTATTCTATATAGGAATTATATATTTCAACAGATTAGTGAAAATTTGTGTGTCAAATTGGGAAATATTAATTAAGTGTAGGAGAGCCATGCTTCGGCACGAACGGGTCGGTTCGACCAGAGTGATACCACCTCACAGAAAACCGACGTGAAACAACCACACACACGTGCTTGTGTTTACTTTACAAAAAAGTAGTTTGGAGCAAAATCTTAATGAATACCAAGTTTTTGCTTTATACAAAAGAAATACGCAGCTATCTAACAATTAGCATTACACGATTATATCACGCGTCTTTTAAATCCTAATGACAAATCCATTCTTTAGTATTCTTAAAATCATTAAGGCGATGGTTTTTAAACCCTTTTTCCTTATATTAATGATATATGCTATCTTTAGGAGTATTAGAAGTAACATAGTGTCTTATAGGTATGGCCATTTGGACTAAATTGCTTTAACGATTAAAATATATTAAAAGGCTCTGTAATTAAAATATCAGTAACACATTGTCGAAGGATGAGGAAGGAAAGACCAGAACTAGATCACAGACAGAGAACAGATAGCTATAAAACAGGAGAAATAAATACTGCTTCATGACTTACTTACCGTTGAAGACATTAAATCTTAAACAGTTGATAGAGATTTATAATATAGATACCGCTGATAATCTCATGTTACTGATGGTTTTTAATTATGGGATAGGGTGTTTACGTGTCCCCTGATGGTAAGCAATCCACGCCACCCATGGACTCCCATAACATCAGATGAGTTATAATTGCGAATGGGTCGGCTCGACCGGAGTGATACTACGGCCTCACAGAAAACCGGCGTGAAACAACCACAGCGTTCTGTTTCACTGAGTGAGTGAGGTTTCCGGAGGCCCAATCCTTCCCCTTCCCCGAGCCCTCCCCAATCCCGTAATCTCCAAAACCCTAATCCCTAAGAGGTTGGCAACGCACTCGTAACTCCTGCATTGCGGGTGTCCATGGGCGGCGCTGATTGCTTACCATCAGGTAATCCGTCTGCACGTTTGCCGGTCTTTTACATACAAAATAAATACAAAAAAAAGTTGTTGTAGGTTATGCTGTCTTAAGCCTGTTTTCTGTGAGGCCGTGGTATGTATCAGTCTGGTCTAGCATACTTAGGTAATATTGTCTTATATGTTAGAGCAAGCGTCTCCGTTAAAGCCCTTACCTATACTAAAACACGTTTATAACCAACAGTGAAACAATTGCACAGGTACAATTACCGTAAGAGTATAACCAGTTTCATTTTGATTACCCACCACATTAATCGCAATCATAACCCGCTCCAGAGCTGGTCTTAGATATGTTTTACCGCTAACGCCCCGTGAACAGTTCGACGTAACTGTTACGCGGCGATTACGCGACGTCACGCCACCGATCGTGGACGGAGAAATTAGAAATTATTTGCTCAAAAATTGCGTGAGTTTTCGTGACCGTTTGACGATTGTTGATGGTATTTTATTTGAGGCTGTGTCTGTTGTATGCGTCGCTGTTAATGTGTGTCGTATGGTATTTTTATAAGTTAAGTCATGTTTATCATATTTCTCAGCCGGGGTTACGGTTCAAGCGGCAGTAGTTTGGTTCAAAGGAGGAGCAAAGGAGAAAAACGTAGCGCCATAAGGCACCTTGGCTTCGGCCTAGACCAGGAGATGGAACGGAGGGGGAGCGGGGTAAGTCAGTAAGAGCCTGACACTCCCTCCCACCCCAACCTGGGCATTTGATGATTTTACCTTAAAAAAAAGGGTAGTGTAGAGTAGTACCCTACTCTGTCGGTGGTGGTCGGGTTGGGTAGGTAGTGTAAGTATTCAAATGAAGGGAAAATTAGTTCATTATAGGAAGCAATTGTTACCATTAGTTATCTGAGTACCAGAGCTACCTAACCATCTGTCAGTGTTATTTACCGTTATATACCTTCACGGCACGTTGATCTACTGGTACCGCAATTTCTGCTAATTCTGCGCGCTCTTTAAGATATCTCGCGGTTGGTTCCAATTAGTATCTAAAGAAATGTGTAATAGTGTTATTTTTTCTATGGTCTAATATTTGGTCTATGGTCAATTAAAGGTATGATTTTAAATACTTTCTTAGCGACATTTTTGTATGTATAATACAGTTTTTCTGGACTATTGCGGGAATTTCATTAGTAGGATTAGAAAAAATGGAGATGTGTAAAAGTAGAAGGTTTGATTTAATGTAATAAACTTCTCTAAAAGACTAATATTTTGTGCTCACCACAAGTAAAGAAGTGTAATTTTCGAAATGAGCAGGTGGTTTGAAAAAAACATTAGGATTTATTTCTGATTTTAATATTTTTCTTTTTTGAATGATAGCTCTTCATTGACTTCAGAAAAACGATTTTACCTTAGTGTCCTTCTTCTTAAAGGGCTGGCAACATATTTTTGACCTATGATGCGGGTGTCCGAGGGCGGCGCAGGTTCTAACTAATGAATAAAACAATAATTACTTGAGTGCAACGATTACATTACTTTTTGAAATGAATAAAGTTCATAACAGTTTGTTTCCCATTGATGCAAATATAAGGTTTCCCTCGCTGCCTTTCCCACGAAGTTAAGAAACTACCCATTAAGTCCTTAGCTATTGCATTCGTAGGAAATTGTAGCAATTTTATGGTTTTTCTTGATGGCTATAAATTACTTAACTACGTGATATACATATAGTAGGTATAGGTGAAAGTTTAATTTATCAAGTATGTGGTTGGAGGCTGGTGGTGGCCCAGAGGTTTTTTCTGTCAGGGGAAAATCATCATCGAGGCCGCGGTGCCTCATAGCGCTTACCCCGCAATCCCGGATCATTAAGAAACCTGGACTTATCTATCTTCTCTTATAAGTATAAATCGGCAATTCGATGTGAGACGCTTAAGTAAAGCATCTTTTCCCGTGTGAAAAGAGCCCTCATTTCAGTACGTGACTGATGTTGTGAGAATCTCATATTCCAGAATTTTGTCCATTTTCTATTCTAACACATGACGCAGCTATAATCATTAGCATTTCATTTATGATATGTTACATCAAAAAGTTATACAGAATTTTAATTTTTTTATGAGCATGAGTTACGTTTCAGACTAATTATTTTAAATAAAATTGAATTGCTTACTGTTCCTAAGCACACGAAGCTGGGAAATATTAGCGAATCATTACTTTCGTTGAAGTTTCGTTGACGATTATTTTTTAAACTAAGTAACAAACTCTGTAAGATGATCCTGTGAAATTGAAGTATTCGATAACAACGAATTATGAAACATGTTGCTAGGCCCTAAGCTCAAAAACAGCTGGACTTAAACCTATACACGCTTTTTAAAAATAAAAAGTTCTTAAGATCCAAAAAGTTTATCTAAGCCAGGAATTAATTACCAAGACGATCCAGACAGTAAGTTGTACATATAGCTTTGTTCTTAAAAAAGAAAAACAAATTCGAAATTCGAACCGATTATTTCGAAAGAAGAAAAGCAAATGTCTTTTTTATTTTGTTTGTTAGTTGCCAGCTTCGTTTCTGTATCGCAATCACTAGTTGCATTAGGTCACTGACACTACTACAGGAAAGCTGAATACATTACCTATCACCTTCGTTTTGTCACTGTCAAGGCTTAAATGTCTGCGGCCCGGAGCAACCAGGCCTAGTGAGTCATTCATGTTTTTATCGAAACTGCATGCTCGTTCATCATAGCAACTGGCTAGATGTAAATAGCAATTTTAGTTAGCTTCAAACAGGTGTTCTATTTTTCAAATTTTGGCGCGAGTTTTGATTTGTTGACATTTTTTCCTGTGGTCAGAGACATAAATATTTAAAAATTGTGGCTTACGGCTATTGTTATAAATTTTTATGTTTTTTTTTTCAAAAACGTTTAGTAATAATATTAAGCTGCTCATACTTTACAATGAAATATGTACATAGATTCCTATATTTTTGTATGATATTGTAAAAAATATTGTATTATCGTTATTTCTCACATTCCTGTGATAATAATGACTGGAAGTGCGAACAAATTATTTCATCGCATCTTTGATGGCTTTGCAACAACCTTGGGGTTAGGTGCAAACAAACCGCAAGTTGTACGGGTTGATTACAGTACAGTACTATCATATTTTGCATACTTATTTGTAGCTTTGTGGGAACGTGCCAAGTGGCCACGGCACCGGAGCAAAATAAATCTGTTATGTCTGATGATTGCTTACCATTTGCTTACCATCAAGTGATCTGTCTTCTCGTTTGCTTGCCTTATTACCTATACTTATTAAATAGCAGCGACCCACTCTACTTCTCCACTTTTTAATGGATGTTATTAGATATATAAACGCTCCTCGTCAATAATGCTATCCTTTAAAAAAACCGCGCGAAAATCCGTAGCGTAGTTTCAAACATTTAAGCATACATAGGGATATAGGGACAGAGAAAGCGACTTTGTTTTATACTATGTAGTGATGTGTAGGTTCTCACCAGTACTTTTTTGTGGCGAGAAAATCATCACATGAATTCTCTCGCCCAGGGTAAAGCGAGAGGGAGTGTCGGACTCTTACTGACTAAAAACTCTTTCGTTCCTTCTCTAGGCCGAGGTCGCGGCACCTTATTGCGCTTGACCTGCGACCATGGCTAAGTATTGGCCATATTGAGGTTCTCATCAGTACCTAAGTTGGCGAATATTGCTAAGCGCAAAAGGTTTTGTACATGGTCATTTGTTAACCTCAATCATATAGAAACGACATTGTTAATGCCTGAAGCAATGAAAGCACTAAGTTTATGAACAGATGTACGTGACAGCTGTTGAAAATGGTTTTCTCTGCATCGCCGCTGGCCG